TGACACATAGTTACACTACAAATGGTGACAACCTGGTTAATGAAATTCGGAAGGACATAAGCCAACTTTTATCATGTGAATTTAACAATTAAATAATTTGATTTCTAAAAACCTACCAAAGATTGCATTTGGCAGAAAACCAGTGAACATGCCTACAAATGGTGACAACCTGGTTAATGAAACACCATGTGAATGAGCATCAAATTGTTAGTGACTGTAAATGTGCATTTTAAGAATTACTGTTAGCAGCAGTAAAGTCTGGAGTTGATTGCTTCATATAAATAAAGAAACAAGTAAATGGCAGAAAAAAAAGTAACCAGACAAATCAATGGGATTTTTTTTGGTTATTGGTATTATTATATTCATGGATAAATATTGTTGAGATCAAAACTAAAAAAAATCCAATTCCTAGCACACCATAATTGGGTTTGGATACACCTTTATCCCGTGCCTGGTGGGCTGAAAGAACAGGCCTTGAGGCCATCTACCTCTGAAAAAAACAAAAAACAAAAAAAAAAAAATTTAAAACCACTCGGTTGCTTGAGACCTCAACATATTTCTCATAAGCACACAAAGAAGGCACCAGGTGTTTCGAACTTCTCCCCCAAGGCTCACAAGACTAGACAGCCATTATTTTGTTCAAGTGCAAGTAAAAAACAATTTGTTCAGTGATGCAGTTGCTTACACGTAATATTATAATCCTAGAGTTGTTTGCTACGGCCTCTCTGTTAGCTTGTGCTTGTCTAATCCACCTGTAAACATATGTTGACAGTTTATATCACCTCACAATATTGAATCTCTCTGCTCCGTGGTTGGTGGAGAAGCCCAACGCTTCCTTCCTGGAATCGTGGAAAAAACAATAAAAAACATTACGCCTAACAAAATGCAGGCAGAAGAAGGGGAAAAAAATGTACAACCTGATTCTGGTCATGCAAGCCCAGTCCTTCGCCTTGATAACAAGTACAATAGAGGCAATAAGTCTCTGATAACAAGTACAATAGAGGCAATACTTCTTAACTGCTTCGACTTTGCTTCTTCTGTTATTTTGAAATAATTACATATTTATTAATGAAAGAAGGGTAAACCGTAAATATGGATAGGACAAGAAGATATTGCTAGGAAGTAAGGCCCAAAAAAAAAATCTAGCATAAAGATCCATGTGAATTCTGATAAAAAATTAGGATGACCAACTGATCTTTGATTTCTCAATGTAGCTAAAAATAAATTGGCCATGCCTTGGATATAGAAAAATGGAAATAGATGTTGTAAGCTAACTCTAGTAAAATTAGGAGTAAAAAAAACCTCTATCTGTTGTTGGTCAACTGCGGTAGAACGAAACAGAGACCAGCAGTTGGACCATCTTAGAATCTTGTTCATCAATACCAAGGAGATTTGAATCACTGCTCCAACATTGGATGAATTATTTTGGTTAATTAGTCAATTTATTATGTAGCCAAATAAAATGTTTGTTTAAAAAAAAAAAATTGTCAAAGTCATAATGCTGAAGCTTCTGTGCAATTTTCAGATATTTCAGGTGGGGTTTCTTCCCATACATTAGAGCTTTAAGGAGTATGGAATTTTTTATGTCAACCCCAAAAAAGTTTCTAATCTATATATCGGGCCTTCTCTTGCTTGATGCTGAAGGAAAAAATGTTACCTCCCCCACCAAACAAAGTTCTAATGTCAAATCACTCAGAATATTTAAAGGCAAGCTTGAGAAATAGGAAAATCACTCACATGCACAATAAGAATACACCAGGTTGTTCAGTAGTTTCCCCCCAAAGTGAAGGCCTATGGACTAGACATCCCATATAGTTATTTGTAAAGCTTAATCCAAAACAGTCTGTTCAATATTTGTGAATTGTCTTACCAGTAATCTGATCATCCTTGACTCATTTGCTATTGCCCTGGTAAAAGCTTGTCTCAACCACAACTAAACAGACGTTCACAGCTTATATTTTCTCTCTGGACTGAATTACCTTGCTCCATAGAGAAGCCCAATGCTTTCTTCCTGCAACATGATAAAAAAAAAAAAAAAAAAAAAAAAAAAAAAGAGTGAAAAACTTAATAGAAGACAGGCAGAAAAATGGAAGAAAAAATGTATAGTGACTAAAATCAGGTATTGCAACCTTAATCACAATTACCAATATTGACAGTAAATCTCCAGTAACTGCATAGGATTCTTTCTCTTGGCTCTCTTCCATTGCACAAAATCTTGTCTAGACTACTAATAGTAATCCCTGCAGGCTGTACTTGGCCAATAGCTTTGAGGCTGGCTCATGCTCGCTGGTTTTCATAATCATCCTTTTAGCAGCTTCTACCATGTTTCTTCCTGTAAATTTGCAGAACTTTATATCAATATGGAAGAAGGGTAATAATCTGAAAAGGGCAAAAAAAAGTTAAAAGTTTCTAGCAAGAAGGGGAATATCCCGCGTTAAAGATCCACATGAATTGGGAACAAAGTTAGGATGATCAAATAGTTTTGCATCGCTCAATGGGGCTAAAAGATCATGGGTATTTCTGGGATATACAGAAATGGCCAAAGAAATATAGGTTGTAAGCCAACTCTAGAAACTTAGGAATGGGAAAAACTATGCAGTATATAGTAGGGCAACCACTCCTTAAAATTAGTAGATGGTGAGTTTGGCTATTGGTGCACTTCAATCTGTTACTCATCTGGTGAGCTCTGGTCGATATGAATGAAGACTTGCATTTGGTTTTGGATTATGATTGATGTTAAGTAGTACTGTACTTGTGCTCGTCAAGCAAAAAGACTTGTATAGTCGAGCAAGAAACTTAGATTTCCTGCTAATTGGCAAGTACATAATTCTGTAATTCCTCGAATCAGTATTATTGTGTGCTTTTGTTACTGCATCATACCAGTAGACACGGTCTATGGATCTAGTTTCATTATATCTTTATAGGTAAAATTTGTCATAGTAAGGCATACTATAAAAATTGGAGCCAATATTGTTTTAAGGAAACTGGTTTAAAGCATGACATTTAAGGCTGCCTAAGATTACGAGCCAGATAATTTGATACCTTAAAATTGAAATTTAAATCATTTAGAGACGAAGTTTTATTAAATTTCTTCATGCTATACACGATAGTAAATCAAAAACAGAAAAAAATAAAACAGTATGTTTTATATATGATCAACAATGTCATATAAAAACAAAATACAAACAATGCTATTACAATCTTAGGAAAGTACTGAGAAGATTTTTAGTTAGTGGATACAAAAAGGGGTCACATCAATCAATTGGCATCTTGTAGCGAAAAACAGGACAAAACGAACTCGTCTCTAACCAATGAACTATGCAATCTCCATGGTAGAGATGAGAACACGACATGCTAGTGACTTGTGACCCAACTCCAAACTTCTCCATAATTACACACTGATCCATCAAAAAAGAATCCTCAAATGCTACCTTCGCTAAATCGTCAACCGATAAAAGATGTCCACCAAAACAAAAGGACGAAGAGAAGTCCTTGTGTGATCATCCATGTTGGTGCGACAAGAAGGACAACAATCTGTACTCTAACGTGGGGTTGAGTCCGATAGTAGAGAGTAATTCAGAGATCCTGAATTATATGTCGTTGTCCAAAAACACAAACGGAATCAGGTACAGTTCTCCTAGCCGACTGTGGTCGTGGTTGTATCTGCGGACTGCGGTAGTGAACGTTTAGTATCACTCCAAAAGTGTCGCCCTGTGAATATGAACGCACTCGCTTCAAATCACTCCAACGATACATTCTTTGGATCGGCGGCATGTTAGGGCAAATTGGATCGGGTCGGACAAACGAGTCGGGCCTGGATAAACGATCCGGATCTAGACAAACGGGCCGGAACTGGGTAAACAAGTCAGACTCTAGGCAAACAGGCCGGATCTGGGCAAACGGATCAAATCAAAACCAGATCTCTGCTATTCCGGTTTTAGTAAACCAGGGTTGGAATAGCATAACCGCGTAGCCAAACACGGTTGTTCTTCTTTACAACCTCACAGACGCCGGCAAGCAAGCAGCGACGGCGGCGGCAACCCAACACGAGCAGCGACCTAATCAACGAGCAGAGATGGTTCGCGATGATGGAACCTCTGCAACTTGCGACAGCCAAGGCAGCCACCGGCCGGCAACTCGAGCAACCAAACAAAGAGCTTCAGACCTGAGAACAACGGACGAGAAGCTCTGAACAGAACGACGGACGAGGAGCTCTGAACATCAGCGACCAACCAAACCTCCGGCGCAGAAAAGGATTCAGCTACTCCTCCGATTCGACCTCGATCGCGATTTAGAGAGAGCGCGCGAGAGATGATGGAGGCTACAATTGCCAAACCCTAAGCATTATATCATAAAAGAAGGAGCTAATTACATAATGACCCAAAATAAATAAATGTATACTATATATATTGGCATCCGAAACTTCAGATCATAAAGAATGCACTACCTTGTATGTCAGCCCCATTGGGAAAATCCAACATCTGGGATGTGAGATATTTGGCCAATCTTTCCCTTTAAAGTGAATTAGTCCATGGAATTGTGATTTTTGATTCACTATTGGGGGGCACACACAGCACTAGAGTATTACTATAATTGATACATTATATAAATGATCCCTAATAGGGCTGCAATCAATTCGAGTCGAGTAGGGATGTGCTCGAGTCGAGTAGGGATGTGTTCGAGCTCGGTTCGGTGGGTGCAACAGACTGCTCAAGCTCAGCTCGAGCTCGACTACCATATATTATATCATTTTATTATATATAAAAACATTGTTTTTATTAGATATGTACCAGCTCAACGTACCATTGTAATATATATTTTTATGCTAGTTAAAAGTTAGACATCATAAACATTGTTAAATGCAGTTCAATGTTCTTTATGCTAATATATTTTTACTTTTTTTTTTGTTATATTCTATACAATATATTAACTTCTCAAGCACATTTGTATTAATGCTTCAACATTGGATGACTTCCTGAAATTTAGTTCAAAGGGGCAGCCGTTACAATAGTATGAAATAAAAAAACAATTAACCAAAATAATAAATGGCAAAGTAGGCTAGGGGTCTTTTTTGAGAAATGATTTATAAAGATATTGTGGGACATGGCTCTTTTTGAATTTTGAAAATCTTGTTCGGCAAGTAAATTATCGGTTGATGAAACACCATCTGAATGAGCACCAAATGGTTAGTGACCGTAACTAGGAAGGCATTTTAAGAATTACCGTTAGCAGTAGTAAAGTGTGGATTTGATTGCTTCATATAAATAAAGAAAGAAGTAAAATGGCAGAAAAAAAATAACCAGACAAACCAATGGATTTTTATTTTTTTATTTTTATTTTTGGTTATTGGTGTTATTATCATCAGCCCCCCTAAATTTTTAATATTTTCATTTTATATCCTAAATGTTTTACAATTTATGAAAATGTCCCCCTAAATGTTTTAGCATTTTATATTTCAAATTTTTGATAATTTATGAAGATGTCCCCACTAGAATTATAATTTACCCCACTAATTTTTTTTTTTCATTTTATACTTTAAATTTTTGAAAAAAAACTTTATTAAAATTATAAAAATGGATCCATTATATAATTTTGTACCCACAAATTAAAAGGCCGCCACTCTTCACAAAATTTTCTAAATCCGTCACTAATTTTTATATTCATAGATAAATATCGTTGAGAGCACGACTACAAAGATTCAAGACACGAAAAAAAAAATCCCATTCCTAAAACACCATATTTGGGTTTTGATACACCTTTATCCCGTGCCTGGTGGGCTGAAAGAAAAAACCTCCTACCCCAATAAAAAAATAAAAAAAAAAACAATGATTTAAAACCACTCAGTATATTGAACTCTTGCTTGAGACCTCAAAATATTACAATATTGTTTCTTGAACGTACGCTTTCTCTCCCTCCTTCGCCTGTAAGAAGAAAAAAAATGATGGGAAAATGAAAAGAAGAGAGAGAAAGAAGAGAGAAGAGAGAGGAGAGAGAAGAAAGACCACAAAAAAATTTCTTAAGTTTTTTTTATTTTATTTTGGGTTGAGTTGGGTTCGGTTCGGTTGAGCCCGAGCCCAACATGCCTAGGTTTTGAGAAAACTCAATTTAATTTGAGCCTGATTTGTGAATTTACAAGCCCAAATTTTATAATTTTTGGGTTGGGTTAGCCCGCCCAAGTTACAGCTAGGGTTAGGGCTAGAGCTGAGAAAGGAAATCTAATGGTATTGGGCTATTTAATTAGGCTAGGAATTGGGGTTGATGTAAGATTTGTATTAATTCTATATATAATTGGGGTTGATGTAGGATTTGTATTAATTCTCCTCCCTCTTAAGATTCTGTACAGGGCGTTCAATGAATGAGGTGAAATTTATTCTTGTCTTGTGCAATTGCATCTAGTCTCTACTAATGGCCTTAATCTCATGACCCATCTTGCTACTGAAAGCAAGTTGGTTTAAGCTTGAGAAAAAATTGTGTTTTTAAGTTTGTAAAGTTCATCGTTAACACCAGACACAAGTCCAATCTCTTGGAGGAACCCAACTTCTTCAGGATTGCTGTAGAGAATTGTTTCAGAAATTTCTTGCTGTAGAAAATTAGTTGGATCGGTTTAACACTGAAACAATTGAATGGTATTGGGCTAATTAATTATCTTGATTGGGTTAGAAATGAGCTTGATGTAGGATTTGTATTCATTTTTAGAAGAGAAATGGAGAAAGAAATATTTTATATCTTACTTGATTTCAAGTATGTGTTTCTCTATCAATTGAATGTCGGTAACTAGCAAAAACAGATTACTATACTAGGTAAAAGTTATGGATCGAAATTAGAATGAATTGGTTTAAAACGAAAATATTAAACCTTCTTTTTTTACTATTTCACGTTGAAAACAATTCACTTCAAATGTGCTTAACCTCACAGAGCTCGACTCCATATTATCATCACCAAAGGCAAATTGGTAAACTTTGTCAACAAAAACTCCCTACTGCAGGGTCTGGTTAGAAATATGATGCTACTAATGAAGTGTTTGGACATATGAATGTTCACATATTTCAACGAGCTACACAAGTACATGACCTAAAAAAAGCTAAATAATAGTCTAAATGTATGTAGAGTATTTATAAATATGAATGCATAGACTAAAATGATACCCGACTGCAAAATATAGCCAATACAGGGTATACCTGCAGATGGTTTTTGTAATCACCCTTTTGGCTGCTTCCACCCTGTTTCTTCCTACTCCGAAAGGTAAAGTTGTTATAAGGTAATGCATACCATGAAAACTGTAGTAAATATTGTTTTAAGGAAAGTGATTTAGCCCTGCATTTAAACAGTTATCCTGATCTTTTTCTTTACCTCGAGCAATTTTACACAATTTTTTCCAACAAATTTTTTTTTTTCCTAATTGGTACTCACGCACACTTATCCCTTCTGAAACTTGAACCTCTAACCTCCCTTTGGAAGGTAAAATATTGATACCGTTAGGCCACTGGCCCGTTGATAACAATTAAGAGAATGACAGTTCATTTTTCAACAATTAAGTTACCATGGCAGCAAAAATGTAAGTAGTTCACAAGTTGGTCAAATTATATATATATATAAGATGTCTCACAATTATGAATGGGAAGAAGAAGAAGGCTGTAAAACTAATCCAATTATGTCCTTGTCAAGCTGGCCGATTATGAATGTTTGACATTTCCTGAGAAGGTGAAAAAGAAAAGAATAAGATAATGATAAAGGACAATTTCAATAGTATCATGTCCTTATCTACACATTCATGGAAGTTGCAAAAGCAAAAAACATATATATAAAGAAAAATGAGGATTAATATATTTCTACTAAAATAAACATCTTGAAAAGAATAAAATATAAAAGATTACCTTGTATGTCATTACCATAGTGAAATATAAACATTTGGGATGTGAGCAATGTTTGGCCAATCTTCCCCAGTTTCTTTATGGCATCTATCATATAAAATGTTGGGACACAATCTAATTGTGAGTTGTTGTAGTGCAGTGAGCTGACGCATCCCATCAGGCAGTGATGTCAAGTTGGGGCAGTCCTCAATGGAAAGTCGTTCAAGTGATGTGAGGTTGCCTATGCACTCGACCGGCAGAGTAACTAGATCCTCAATTTCCCCTAGAAACAGAGATTTTAAGTTGGACAGAGGAAGAACCGAAGAAGATGAAGAGGATGATGCGACTGTCTCTGTTGTTGTCGTAGAGATTGTTCGGGTTGAGGACACTGTCATCGTTAACAGTTGCTCTACTAGCTCCTTGCTGACACCCCAACGCAGACGTAGCTCTTCAAGACATGGTTGCAGAATAGGCATTGATGCCAGATTAGGGCAATATCCGATGGTTAATTTGGCAAGAGAAGGAAATGATGGTAGCTTCTTCAAATGTTGTTGTTGCTGTTGCTGTTGGTCCAGTAAAGTTGCTGTCGCTGTTGCTTCGCTCCTCCACCATCCCTTCAAATTAGGCAACTGGGAGAGATGGAGTTCTTTCAGCGATGGGAAGAATGTTTGTCTTGGTGTTGGTTCTGATCTTATTGTTGCTGCTCCTCCACTGGATGAAGATGAAGAAAAAGGTAAAGAATAAGAGAGTGACTCCTCGCCGCCACTGCCACTACTACTGTCGCTTATGTACTCCACAGAATCCATATTCCAAAGACGAAGAAATTGGAGAGAATGAAGTTGCTCAAATAATGGAAGATGTTTGCATCTGTGACACCCCTCTATATCAACTCTGACTAAATTTGGGAGGGATGATGATAAGCCAATTTTGTCAACCATCATCCAACTCGGGAAACACACTCTGTTGGGATTTATATGCCCTGGCATAGCAAATTCCTATCTGGATTGTATTGACATATGTTCCTGACATATCTAAAATATTTATGATTTATATAATTGGTGAATTCAATGTATTATGTTTCAATTCACTATGAAATTGATAGTGTCCAGTTAATTACAAGAAATATTTATATATATGTATGTGATGACAATCAATGCATGATATATAAATAGTAATTATAAATTGTTCATAGTCGGTAATTATGGATGGACTCATAATTAATTAAGACTTGAACTGGATCCGCGTTAGGTTGAGATATATTGCGAGAGCCGTCGTATGCAATTACTCCCTATCACTGTCATGGCATGTGACTCTTAAGCATGAGAAAAGTATAGACTCTTTTATTAATTAATAATTACTTTGATTTGTTCGGCGGATTCTTCGGGATCCTTAGACCGACACTTTGGGTAGTTATGTAATTAATAGTTAGAGGGTTATATTTTCAATATTTGCATCATTGCTACTTGTATTTATTTTGTATTGATTATGGTTGATCACAAAGTAAATTCGAAGGCCTTCGTGTGTTTTTAGACAAAATAATTTATTATATATTTATTTATTTAAATTATTATTTTTGTCAAACAAATGTTTTATTGTGATCGAACCAGAAATAATCAAAGGTACCAAAATAAATATATTAATTAAGTAGTCGGATTGATGGCTATATTTATCCGATAACTAATTATGCATAGAGGGGTCAAAGTGCAATATTGACTTAGAGGTTATTTATTATTTAATTGGAGTTCAATTAATTTCTTTTAGTGGAGTAGAAATTAATTTATGAATTAATTGAATTGGGTCCATGGACCGGGCCAATTATTAATTCATTGTAGCCAATAAAATAATAGGCCCAATGGATTCTCACTCATAGCCCAACTTGATATTGGAATCATATTAGATTTGAGACATATGAATTAGAGATGGAGAAGGATTTGTTGTTTCCTTTTCTTTATTTTTATGTTGCCTATAAATATACATGGTCTATGTATATTTTAGGGAGTGATTTTTATGAGAAGGAAAAAGGAATAAATTTTCTCTCTCTAGAAAATTAGGGTTTATGTTCTCATCTAATGGAGGCTCCCACAAGCCTAGTTTTCCAAGGTCATTCAAGGAGGCTTATGAGTGATTCCTAAAGGCAAGACCATTACCAAGAAGATGGAGATCCATGGAAAAGATGTCTAGCAAAAGGGATCTACAATAAGTGAGAACATTCACTTTAGAGGAGAGATCTGAGGTTTACTCAAACCTTGATGTAAGTATTCAATCTTTTAGTTGAATAATACATCATATTTTATTTTATTTTTTGCATAAAACTTGTCTCTATGTGATGAATCAAGATCTATGAATTTAAATCCCTCGAAAAGTTTTTAAAACTAGCACGTTTCCCAACAGTGGTATCAGAGCATGGTTTGATTCATTACTAGAGATCATGATTTTATGAAAATCATCATTCATGGATCCAAAATTATATTCATATATATTTTTATTGATGTATGTTGATGTATGATTGAATATGTTGATATATATTGATACATAATGATGTATGAATAATTGTGAATGAATGATGATGTATGGTTGGGCCATGGATGAAGCTTATAGGTTAAATTAATGTAATTTTATCTTTGGATGAATGTAATTAAGGTTTTGATTTAGCCGTTTGAAAGTTCAATGATGTAATTTAATTTTTTCCATTGTATTTCAAATTGTAAATATTTTTAAAGCCATGTAATCTTCGTCAAAGGATGCTATGAAGCTTCAAGAAGGTCCAAAAGGATTAAATTATGCTTCAGTAATTTTCTGGAATTTTTCCGAATTTTTTGGGATTTTTCTGGAATTTTTTGAGGCTTAATTTAATTTTCTGGCATTTTTTCGGATTTTTTGGAATTTTTTCGGCGTTTTTCCGGTGGCCGGAGCTTCGCCGGCGGCGAGAAGGGGCGTCGGAGGTGGCCCGGATCAGGTGTGGCGTCAAGATGGTGAGCCTGGCGCGTGTTCCACACGCGCTAGGAGAGTGCACATGCTGGCGCGTGGAGCTTGAACTCCACGCGCGTGAAGGCGCGTGGAGGCGCGTCCCACGCGCCCCAGGCGCGTGGGAGCGCGTGAGTGTGCATTCCACGCGCCCCAGGCGCGTGCCGGCGCGTGGGAGCGCGTGGGAGCACGTGCAGCTTGCCCTAGGCGCGTGCCAGCGCGTGTGAGGTCCTCCGGGCTCGTTTCAAGCGGCGTTTTGCTTCTCCTGACGCGTACAAGCTTCCTATGGGTGTTTACAGACAGTTGAAGGATGCCCGTACAGCAAGAATAGTTTTTAAATGTTAAAAGCTGAATCCATTGGCCATTTAATTTGCTTTATCTGTCATTTATTGTTGTATGTGATGCATGAAATAATTAATTGCTAATTATTATTGTTCATGCATTGGATCCATGATATTTATTTAAATGGCTTGATTTATATTAATTAAATTATGAAAATTAATTGGATTAGATTACTAATTAATTTGAGGGCACTTATTGGGAAACGAAAAATTATTTTTATAAATTATTTTTGAAGTGTGCCTCAAGTTAAATATTAGTGAATCGTTTAAAGTCCAAATATTTTCTAAATTTAATTAGATTAAAATCAAGACGTTTTGCATGCATTATATCATGTAAATGAATAAAATGAAAACCCTAATTATGAATGATTAAAAATTGAGTGGGAGCGGGGATTTTTATACATTGCCCCATGGCCTTCGTTATTAAAACCATTATAATTAGATCTTCAAAAATAAGGCCCCACGCATGATTTGAAGAGTCTTAATATTACAAGAATGGTTGTCTCATGAAAATAAAAATATTAAATGTTCATTGTAATTAGATCTTTAAAAATAAGGCCCTACGCATGATTTAAAGAGTCTAGATTATAATGACAACATATTTAATGTTTTATTTTTCATTAGAGCATTAATAATGTTATACACTCAATCTAAAATCAATAGTGTTAGCTCCCCAACGGAGTGGTCTACACTAGGTGATTTTAGAAAGGCTAAACATAATCGGGAGTCATTTCATATAGATAGACAAGGCATTGTCTTAAGAGATATGGAGATGATGGGATTTGCCCGCCAATAGCAATAATGAACTTCGCCAACCGAATAAGTTATTGGTGTATTGGTTATCCGATTTTTCATGCAGTGGTTAAGGGACCCACATACTATTTTAATGGAAGTGCTCACCTAATAGTAAATGAATCTCAACAATAGTAATAATGAACTCCTCCAACAGGATAAGTTATTGACATATTGATTGGTTAATTTATTATGCTACAGAGTTGAGGGACCCGCATTAATTAAAAGGGATTGTTCACCAATAATGATAATGATCTCTTGTTCGATTGAGATTTATTATATTATGTGGTTAACAAACTCATTTTAATTTTAAATATGCATGACAGAATTAATAATTCACCTTGCATATTGTATGAATGCATTTATATTCAGATTAATTATGTCTAATCCAGTTTATCTACTTGCTTACATATTCTATGATATTGGACCTTATTTATAATGACTGGAAAATGAACTTAGATATTTTATTCACAACGTAAGGGTACAAAATGTGTTTATTACTCCTATACCTATCTCTTTTACTTTGAGATACCAAATTTGACATTAATGCTTTTAATAAATTAGATAAGGCAAATGATATGACTTGGTGCAATATTCTAGAGTTTAGCTCAAATACACTCCAAAGCTAACATTTGTATTATTTTATTTTCTTCAAGCATCATATTAAATGTCAATGAGATATTTTGGTGAGATTAGATAGAGCATATGCCTAAGTACTGTGTCAAATTTAAATACCATCAAGATAGCCTGATGAACTCCAGTTTGAAATCAAATTTTGGAAAATGATTGTTTATTATTTAAAAATTAGCTGGAGATCAATAAGGCTGACTTGGGTGGTAAGTTTCAAGTTGACATGATTATTGCCTTGTTACCAAACTCATTCGACTCTGTTAGAGTGAATTAAATAAAGAATCAGTTTGAGTTCACACTCGCTGATATTCTTATAGAATTGGTAACAGATGAAGGGATAATCAAGAGTATGGGCGTTCCTATCAATTTAACCTAGTCTATACCATCTTTTTCTAGGCCCAAGTGGATGGGCAAAGCAAAGAAGAAGGATGATAATAGGACTAGGCTAGCACAAAACATAGGTATCTAAAAGGTTAAAGGGAATAAGGCAGTGTATGTTGAGGGCGAATGAAACTGTTTCTTTTGCCGTTAACTAAGACACTGAAGGACAAACTGTCTAAGCAATGACGTGGCATAGGAAAATATATATTTAATCATTGAGCCATGTTATGTGGTTGTATCTATTGATTCCTGATGGATAGATTCTGGAGCCACTAAACATGTTTGCAATTTATTGTAAGGATTTCAGGAATCCAGAAGCCTTGATGATATGGGTATATATTTATCTTTTGACCTGATGCCAAGGTTGTAGTTAAGTCAGTGGGAGTATTACATCTGAAATTAGAGAGTATGAGGATATTAGTATTAGAGAACTATCTTTATGCACAGAAGTGAAACGCAATCTCATTCTTATTTCACTTTTGGCTTATAAAAACTAGATCGTTATTTTGTAAAACTGGTTTTATAAAATTGAATAGATATGTGATTGCTTCTGGTGCATTGAAAGATGGTTAATATACTATAATCACAAGCTCTTAAGATTTGCAGGATGTAGAAACTAATGTTGCATCTTCTAGATTGAATGTTAAGAGAAAATTTGTTATTCCTGACTCATTGTATTTTTAATGTCTATTTTTGGGTTGTTATCAATCAAAATAAGATTCAAAGATTGGTCAAAGAAGGTTAATTACCTAGTGAGGCAGGGGAGCCTAAACCAAACTTGTGAACCCTGTTTTGAAGGATAGATAACTCTTAGGGCTTAATCAGCCAGATGAAATAGACATAAAGGACAATTGGAGTCGGTACACACTGACACGTGTGGTCTTATGAACATCCAAGCAAGATTACTCACGTTTTGGATAAGTTTATCTGATGCAACACAAGTCTTAAACTCTTGGTATTTTCTGAGAAGGTTAAGACTGATGTGGAACACATATTAGGTAAACTTGTCAAGACACTTCGATCTGATCGAGGATATGAGTATTTCTTGGGATAGTGCAAAGACTATATGGTTAATGAGGGTGTTGTGTACCAGTTTTCCGCAATTGACGCTAAATTAATTTAGGTGTCAAATAGGAATAACAGAATTCCACTTAACATGGTTAGATCTATGATCAGTTATGCCACATTATCTCTTTCATTTAAGAGTTTAGCGTTAATGACATCGATGCGCATTATGAACTGCATTCCATCTTAGTCTGTCTCAAGGATACCGTTGAGCTGTGTTTTTGACTAAATCTTAGTTTGAATCACATGCACATATGGGGTAGTCTTGCACATGTGCACTTGATATGGACAAGTAAGTTGGAAACAGATCATATGCATGATAGATTTGATAGCTACTCTAAAATGTCACTAGGATGGATTATTTTATGATCTCAAAGATAAAAGTTGATTGTTTTCACTCACTGTTTATCTATAGGAGAATCATATTATGAATCACATACCTAGTAGCATAATGTTAGAGAATTTGGTATGAGTACCAGATGTACCACATCTGAACACACTTATTATAGAGATTGAGAATAATATATGAATTCCCTATTGATGCGTTAGCATCATCTACTACACAGATTCTTGCATCGGTACATTGATGTAGTGGGAGGATTATCATCCAATTCGACAGAATCATGTTTTTAGGTCAGACCATTATGGACATCCCTGTTAAACATGAGTTGGACCCAATAAGCTACACGGAAGCGTGAACCGATGTGGATACAGATCGTTTTGGTGAGTTACTATGAAATCAGAGTTGGAATCTATGTATTCTAATAAATTCTGGGATCTTGTAGAATTTTCTAGTAGGGTGATTCCTATGGAAGGCAAGTTAATCTACAAAAAGATACCAGAAGATTTCTTAGTGAATAAATCATGAGTGTACAAGGGAATGTCATTATTTTTCTTAATTCTATATATTGATGACATCCTACTCATTTATAATGACGTGGAAGTTTTGTCATCAATTATAAGGTAGTTGTTCAATTACTTTTAAATGAAGGATTTTCAAGATGTAAGCTATATTCCTAGGATCAAGCTTTTGCAAGATCAGGTTAAAAGGAAAATAGGCTTATCTTAATAATCCTACATTGATAAAGTTTTGACCAGGTTTGGTATGCATAACTCAAAGAATGAGTTCTTGCTTTATTGATATGGATCGCTCTCTCTAGTAAGTAGTTTTTCAAGACTAGCAGAGGAGATTGAGCAAATGAGACTGGAACAATATGTTTCGGCATATGAGAGTCTCATATATGCCATGGTCTATACCAAACAGGACATCCGCTACATGGTAGGGATAGTCAGTAGAGATCAGTCCAATACTGGACTTAACAACTGGTCTATTGTGAAAAATATCATTAAGTACCTAAGGAGAATCAATGATATCATACTCATTTATGGATGTGATGATATGGTCCTAGTCAGGTATGCTAGTTCTGATTTTCAATCAGAAGTAGATACTATGAGGTTCATGACTTAGTGTATGTTCACTTAATGGAAGGGAAATCAGTTGGTAGATTGTCAAGCAGATTTCAACTGTTGACTCAAACCTGCAGGTGGAACATATTGCAGCCTTAAAGGTGGCAATATAAGCCTATTGGTTTGATCTCACTGATTTAGAGGTTGTGGAGCATACTAGCCTGCCTATCGAGCTATATTGTGACAATAGTGCAGAAGTAGTCCAAACCAATGACCCAAGGTTCCATAGAGGAACAAGATACACTGAGAGGAAGTATCATGTTCGACATGATATTGTCCGGCAAGAAAATGCACTTGTAGTTAAAACATTGCATTGGAACACAACTTTGTTGATCCATTATCAAAGGTGTCATTGATCAATAATTTTGAGCATCATCTGGATAACATTGGAGTTAGGTGCAATTTGAATTGGCTATGAGGGCAAGTGGGAGCTGTTGGGATTTATATGCCCTGGCATAGCAAATTCCTATCTGGATTGTATTGACATATGTTCCTGACAAATCTAAAATATTTATGATTTATATAATTGGTGAATTCAATGTATTATGTTTCAATTCACTATGAAATTGATAGTGTCCAGTTAATTACAAGAAATATTTATATATATGTATGTGATGACAATCAATGCATGATATATAAATAGTAATTATAAATTGTTCATAGTCGGTAATTATGGATGGACTCATAATTAATTAAGACTTGAACTGGATCCGCGTTAGGTTGAGATATATTGCGAGAGCCGTCGTATGCAATTACTCCCTATCACTGTCATGGCATGTGACTCTTAAGCATGAGAAAAGTATAGACTCTTTTATTAATTAATAATTACTTTGATTTGTTCGGCGGATTCTTCGGGATCCTTAGACCGACACTTTGGGTAGTTATGTAATTAATAGTTAGAGGGTTATATTTTCAATATTTGCATCATTGCTACTTGTATTTGTTTTGTATTGATTATGGTTGATCACAAAGTAAATTCGAAGGCCTTCGTGTGTTTTTAGACAAAATGATTTATTATATATTTATTTATTTAAATTATTATTTTTGTCAAACAAATGTTTTATTGTGATCGAACCAGAAATAATCAAAGGTACCAAAATAAATATATTAATTAAGTAGTCGGATTGATGGCTATATTTATCCGATAACTAATTATGCATAGAGGGGTCAAAGTGCAATATTGACTTAGAGGTTATTTATTATTTAATTGGAGTTCAATTAATTTCTTTTAGTGGAGTAGAAATTAATTTATGAATTAATTGAATTGGGTCCATGGACCGGGCCAATTATTAATTCATTGTAGCCAATAAAATAATAGGCCCAATGGATTCTCACTCATAGCCCAACTTGATATTGGAATCATATTAGATTTGAGACATATGAATTAGAGATGGAGAAGGATTTGTTGTTTCCTTTTCTTTATTTTTATGTTGCCTATAAATATACATGGTCTATGTATATTTTAGGGGGTGATTTTTATGAGAAGGAAAAAGGAATAAATTTTCTCTCTCTAGAAAATTAGGGTTTATGTTCTCATCTAATGGAGGCTCCCACAAGCCTAGTTTTCCAAGGTCATTCAAGGAGGCTTATGAGTGATTCCTAAAGGCAAGACCATTACCAAGAAGATGGAGATCCATGGAAAAGATGTCTAGCAAAAAGGATCTACAATAAGTGAGAACATTCACTTTAGAGGAGAGATCTGAGGTTTACTCAAACCTTGATGTAAGTATTCAATCTTTTAGTTGAATAATACATCATATTTTATTTTATTTTTTGCATAAAACTTGTCTCTATGTGATGAATCAAGATCTATGAATTTAAATCCCTCGAAAAGTTTTTAAAACTAGCACGTTTCCCAACAACTCCATCATAAAAATTTATCATCAGTTGCTTCAGATTCCGGTGTGGACGCAGAAATTCCAACAATAACTCATCATCATCATTCCTATAAAAACATAATTCCAGCGTCTTAAGGTATTCTTTCGCTTCCAAGTAGTTTGTTCTCTCCATTCTTCCCTCTTCTACTGTTGTGTTTTTTAAACACCAGCGGCTGCTTGAGCCCTCACGTCCAAGGATTATAATACTCAACCTTCCCCGTAAATTGTTTAGGCTATACAATTCACTCAACAGACTATTTGAGTCAGCCACAAATCTTGTTAATGTCGAAAGAGACGTCAACTGGCCCAATCCACTCGACATGTGAGGCAAGGAAGGACAGTTGTCAAGCTCAAGATGTCTAAGACTGATCAATTTTTTAAAATCTCTTGGCCATTCTTCAAGATTGACGCAATCATTGAGTTTTAGAGTCTGTAAATTTTGCAACTTGGTAATTGAACTTGGCAGAGTCGATATACAACTATCACTGAGATCAAGATACCTTAAATGTTTCAACTTGCCTATATTATTCGGCACGGTCTTTGTCCCCGAATGGCTCAGATCTAACACGTGTAAACTTTTAAAAGTTGAAACAATCTTTTCAAAAACTGATTTGTTTGAAACTTGAACCTTTGGACTCTTCAAAGTTCGTAACTTGTGAGCTCTAACCAAGTGGGTTGACATTTCCCCTGACAAATTTACACAAGAATCTAAAGACAAATGACGAGTGCTTTCAGTAATATTTTCTGCATTTGCATTCACTATGGAACTTTTGGGCCTCACAATAGATTCTGCTAGGTCATGGACAAGCTCATGCATTTTGCAACTTATTACTTCACCCCATTGATCCATTTCAACATCTTGAAAAAAGGACCTCCTCAATAACTCCATAAAATACAAATCTCCTACATCCTCCAATTGTTGATTTCCATACAATGGCTGAATGAATCCATGTGCAATCCACAATTGGATTAGTTCTTTCTTACGAATCTTTTCATCTTTCAAATACAAGGAACAAAACACAAAGCATCTCTTCAAATACGAAGGAAGACAATTATAACTTAACTTTAGTGTTGGCAGAACAACATCCTCTTTTTGAGCTATTTTCGACAAATCATTATTTTTGAAAACCAACCATTCAACATCTGTATCTTTAGAGTATAGTAAGCTTCCTATAGCCCTTATAGCAAGAGGAACTCCCTTACACTTCTGCACAATTTCCCTCCCCATTGTTAATCGACAGGGATTCTCTTTCCCTTGCTTGAATGCCAATTGCTTAAATAAAGACCAGGATGCCTCCTCAGACAAGCCTTTTAAATGATATAGTAAAACTGAGTCAGTAACTACTGTAGCAACTAATTCACTGCGGGTAGTTACTAAAATTTTACTTCCCCTTGAGCCACCCAGCAATAGATCTCTCAATTTTAGCCATTTCTCACGATCCTCATTCCACACATCGTCCAACACAAGCAAATATTTATTCCCGTCAATTTCTCTCCTAAGCTTTTCTTGCAATTTATCCATCGAAAGGTTTTCAGGCTTTCGGCCTGTTGCAGACTCTATGATCTTTTCTACACTGAGTTGAACATCAAAGACATCAGAGATACACACCCACATCTTAAGTTCAAAATATTTTTTGACCCTTTCGTCGTTGTAAACTAATTGTGCAAGTGTGGTCTTTCCCAATCCCCCAATTCCAACTAATGCAACAACTGACACATTCTCTTGAACGTTATTGTCCAACAAAAGTTCTACTAGTGCCATTTTATCACTATTCCTTCCAATTACACTTCCTGCATGAACAAAAGAGTGAGTCTCCTCCCTCTTAGTATTCTCAACTCGCATATCTATAGGCTTCTCAATGAGATGAAATTTTTTCCTGTCTTCTGCAATTGCATCTAGTCTCTCCCTAATGGCCTTAATTGCATTAGCCATCTTACTACTGAAAGCAAACTGGTTTGAGCTCGAGAAGAAATTGCGTACCTTCTTTAGCTTTTTGTTATTCTGAGTCGTAATTTGACGTCGTAACTTCTTTAGCCTTTTATTCCGTCTCTTAACTTGACGCCGAAGAACTTTAGTGGAGAAGTCATCGAGCAAGTCATCAGCATCATAAAATGCATCGTTGAGCTTTTCGAGCCAGTCTTCTACCTCAGGGTTTGTGCTTTGCAGCTCCTCTGCATGAACAAGAATTGCTCTGATTGTAGAAATGGTGTCTTTGAGTTTGTCAAGTTCATTCCCAGCCACAGATACAAGCCCAATCTCTTGGAGAACTGATGAACCCAACTTCTTCAGGATTTCAGTCACAGTGTTGTAGAGAATTGTTTCAGCCATTTTCGTCTTGATGTTTATCTGAGTGATGGAAGCAAAAGCAATACTATAATTCACAGAAGAAAATTGGTCGACCTGACTTTAAACTCTTATCTCCAAAGTCCAAATGATTGAAGGCTGTCTCCTTAAGTGGGTCCTCAAAAATAATAATAATAATTTTCCTTTTTCTGTTGAGAAATGCATAATATTTGATATATAATTTAAGATGAATAAGGTTATACTGATACCATATTTTTTATTTTTAATGAAAAGAGATTGGTTTAATTTTTTTAGATGAAAGAATTAAGCATCTTAATTTTAAAATAAAAAAGAAAAAGAAAAGAAGTAATGACAAAATATAATTTATTTGAAATATATGTATTGAATCAAAAAATCATTTCAGACGTCTACATTTTTAAGAAGTTCGGACATTTATAAAGTAAAAAAAAAAAAGTGAACAATATAAAGTTTTTTTTTTTTTTTTTTTTACATTTTTTTTTATACATAAATTATTCATGAGAGTAGATTGGTCCAATTTATTAAATTGTAAAGTTAAAAAAGTCTCATAAACGGTCAAAGAATAATTTGGTCAATTTTTCATGTAAAGGAGTATCTTTGTCCATTTTTAAACCTTCTGGGGATATCTTTGTCCAAAAAACAGGTTAGTTTCCTTTGAGTGTCTTTTTGCCAAACCTCAGGGGTTGTGACTGTACTTTATTCTTTATTATAACAAAACAACAAACAAACAAAAGAAGGGAGGGAGACAAATCCCTCTAGTCCAAACAAACTAAAAAGTCCCATTTCCAGAAATTGACCAACATGAACAGAAAAAAGAAGAAATCAGCAAATGAATGAATATAACTAAAACTCAGGCAACCAAGACTCCCCTCAAACCAACGCCAACAGGCAGAACAACAGAGCAGCTGCAGTTTTCAGGGGGTAAATAAGCCCATCAGCACTTATTGAAACGTCTTCATGAAATCTTTGATTCCTGACCCACCACACATGCCATATCGTATAAGTAAACATTAGTTTCAACAACTTGATACAAGAAGGCCTCTGCAATTTGAGTCAGATACCATTTCACCATTTGCACTGCATTCCAATTCCAATTGAACAGGTCATTGAACCACCTCCAAACATTTTGAGCATTGCTGCAATTGAAAAATAAATGTTCCCTCAAATCAGAATCCCTCCTACAGTTATGACAGATAAGAACAACATACAAGCCTTCAAGTTGGAAAAACAAAGGTTCAATATTTCTGTCGTCTGACCCATGTCTCAGCCCCAGTTCCTTATTACTAGTGTTTGTGTTTTCTCCAACTTCCAAGTGAATTATATGTTTTGAATGAAATATGTAAATATTAAAGCAATAGTTGGTCCACAGAACCCAAATTCTTCCCAATGATGAATAGGTATAATTGTGTGCAAGGCTCCAATTTCTCGCAATGAATTTGTGAATTCTATCAATATTGAATGGTTGACACCACCATAGGTGGCTGTAAAAAATTTGAAATTTCATTAATGTACTTATGCATGCCTATGAAAAGAAAAGAAAAATGTTGCATTCAAAAAATAGTCTATGGCCTTTTCTATACAAGGATATACAAGCCTTTAAGCAAACTCATTAGAAAGCTAACTCAAAATCCTTGAAAATGGGTTCAAGAATGACCCTATTTGGGTTTGAAACAAAGAAGATATGACCTCCCCAAGTTAAATGATCCAAGCTGTCAAACTGAGGAATAAAGAGAGATAAGCGATAACTGATCGTCTGTATACCTGACAAGCTGATGTCATGCCTACTCAATTACTTATGGGGGTAGTTTAGTAATTTTGATCATCTACATTGGGGTGAAAATTCTAAAAGCAATACCTGGTGTCTTTTTTCTGTCGCCTGTTCGTGGGGATATTACTTGATCATAGCAGCTTTTGTGCATGTGAACATAAAACGCGGTATTCTCACCCATTCGAACATCAAGTTTTGCGTGAATCACTGCGACAAATTACCAATGTGATCAAGTGCACAAAAAGATTCACACACTAACAACAGAGGCCTATGAATTGCTGGAACTAACATTGGACATGATTAGTGTTGGAGACTAATGCAGTATGAGAATTAAAAGAATTAATAGATCATGATTAGCGAAGAAATAAAGTATATATGCATTTATTATAAATGATGACTGAAACAAACCACCCATAATTTAGGAAAATAGCAAGTTTTTCGAGCAGAAATTGAAAATAATGGTGGGGCATTCGATTTCCCATGACATGCAAGTAATGGGTTATTTTCAAAATGTTTCACTGACTCATTTTAATTATATATATGTGCCTCACAAAAAGCACAGAATGAAAATCTTAGGAGCATAAAGGTAGATTTTGAACAATTCACTCCTATATACTAAAATCACATCTAAGATGTAATATCTACCATTTGCTAGAAAATAATATTAGGGTGCCCATAATTGATTTTGAATTCCACTTATGTGAAGTTGGATTTAATGAATCATAATTCCACTAGTTGGAATAATACCACTTTGATTAAGTTTACAGCCTTACACTTCATTTGAAATTGAATCCATAGTCTAAGGTTACATTTGGATTGCAAGGATTCCAAATGAATGGGTTTAGGTACCTTTTTATGGTCATTTATTAGTTGAGGGCATTTTAGTATATTAAACAGGTATGTTAGTGTATTTGACGGTCCATTAGTAAAAGAGGAGGTCCGTGTAGATTAGTTTCATTTTCAAGAGAAGTCCGAATAATTTCTCAAATCAAAGAGGAAGTTCCTGTAATTATGGCAATGTAACGACCCGAACCCGAGGGTTCGGATCGCTATCTGGATCCTTACCCGAACTCGAGATCATCTAAGGGCATTACTATCATTTTAATGTCAAATTATAGTGAATACATTGATTAAAGTAAAAATAATAATAAGTCCGGATACAAATAAACATGGCCGTGTGATCTTACATGAAATCAAGTACTAAAGAAGTCTTAATAAGTACATAGCATAGTTTTAAATATATTCATAACAAAATGAATACATGGTCTTTACAGAATAACCCTTTTTTTTTTCAACATAAAATTTACAACATCAAAAATGAACCCAGGGACCTTGCCTACAAAAGAAACCCTTGGACTGTCACGGATAGTGTCGTGAGTCGTCTACTACTTCCTTTCCGGTTCCTGAAAATGATAAAGATGGAGTGAGCACAACGGCTCAATAGGAGGTACCTAAAACACACCTCTTAATGATCCCGTGAATCCAAACAAAACATAGAGCATCAAGAAACGAGATCATATTAATTTGGGAGAAATTACAACAACAACAAAATCAACTAAATTATATATAAGTCATGCCATGCCAATGGGTTGAAATGATTTGTCAATGTCGCTCCCTATTTCCAAAACTTTTTCGTTTTTCCATTCCAAATCGTTAATGCAACCCGGCCCATAGCAGCTCCATGGTGCACGAAAGAAGGGCTAGCTAGCTATCCCTGACCATATGGCAACTCTAAGGCGTCATTTAGGGCCTAGGTAGCTTAACCACGCTAAGGTCTCTCCCTAGTTCCCTCTGTGTCATATTAACGCCACGGATCACTAGGCAACTCCTAAGCGCCCAAGTTTTCGCAAACCACTTTTCAAAAAATTTCCCAAATCAAATTTTTTTTCTTTCTTGCCCAATGTCGTGCATGAATACTTCATGCCTTTCAATACCATGTCAAGTATACAATTCCACACATTTCAACCATGTTATATTAGCATGCTTTGAAAATAATTCAGTACATTAAATTTCACATAATTAACCTCACATTCAAAGCACATAAATATTTTAGACATATGACAATTTAAATATAGCATACTCTTTCATGACATTTCAAGTAGGTACAAATATCAACTCAATTATCACATAAAATACAAGTACCACATTTAATACATATAAACCCCAAATCACTGTAAACAAGTTTATGCAAATTAAACATACTAGGGCCAAGTCACAAGGAATTAATTCACCGAAATCAAAGAATATGAATGTTAGAAACCCCTATCTCAAATATTAGATAAAAACCCCAAATTTTGCCCAAATCTCGAAATCCAAAGGTGGGCCAAACGGAAATTAGCTTCGATTAAAGTGAAGCTCTCGTCGAGCTCATCAACTTTGCCTTCTATGGCAAAGTCGACATCCAAGTGGAAAGTAGAAAAATCATGCTTTGAAGCTTGAGAGAAAAATCAACAAACCAGTGGCCTAACAGTATTAGGCCCCTACCTCTCAAAGAGAGGTCAGGGGTTTGAGTCTCAATGGAGGTATGTATGTGTAAGTACCAACTAAGAGGAAAATAAAATAAAATAAAATTGAGCAGGAGAGAGAGATGAGCAGCTATGAGGTGAGAAAATGTAGAAGAAGAAAAGGATTTGTCCCTTTTTGGCAATGATTACCCAAAAATATCTCTTTTTTGTTTTTTATGCATATAAACATATAAATATATACCTTCCACAATTACATAACTAGGAATATATGTATGTGTATATATATATATATATACACCAAATAAATAATTATGAAGTGCAATGACACCGAAAAATAATCTCGTACACGAGAAATCTGGGTGCGGGTCCCACCCGGGACCTTCCGGCCCGAAAAATTGAAAAATGTTAAAATGACCAACAATGCATTTCTAAAAGTCCCAAACTCGAAAAAATGTCCCAACAACTTTCAGGACTCCAGAAGCACACCTTATGGTATCCGGTGCATAAAACGAGACAATAAAAATATAATAATCTGAAAAATCGAAAAATCCCCGAAAAATAAAAAATAGGGAAAATGAGAAATATTATAGGCAAATCATAGGGGAAGTTCATATAATTTACCCTATATTTGTGTATTTGTATGTATATATAGTTACATGGACAGCAGGTATTGGTGGGTTTTGTTTTTTTGGGTTTGAGGAGATTTCTACTTCTTTAGATAAAGATTGTGGTGTGTCAATCAATGAAAAAACATGTTTGCAGCTTTGTTTGGATACATAATAAGAAAGAAAAGAAAACAAATGATAATGTTGCGTTAAGTAACAAGAAACGTTTCTTATTTTCTGTTGTCAACCTCTAAAAAGGCAAAACGAAAAGAAAAATTGCGTTCAATAAAATGTTTTTATTTTTCTATAACAAAAAAAGTTTTTAATTTTTGTGAAGAAAAGAGGAAACATCAAAATGATATTTCTCATGTTTTCGGTACTGTAGCATAGAAACGTTTTCATTAATGTTACTGCACAGGCACTATTCATTTCAAATAAAATTCATATTATTTGTGTTATATACTAAGTTGCATATTAAATGTTAATAAAATATATATTTTTAATATAGAATATATTAAATATTGTATATTATTTTTTATTTTTGATAAAAATATATTTTAATATATAATATATTAAATAATAATGTAAATTATATTTTGTGACAAAATAATTTTTGATATAGAATATAATGTTATTAAATTATTAAGCAGTAGATATTTTATATTATTATATATCATATCTATATTATATTATATGTAAATATTAAATTATAATTAATTTACAATATTATAACACAATATATATTTTATTACATATAAGATATATTATTTAATATTTTTTTATTCATATTAAATTATCATATGCTAAATATATTATATATTAGACAATAAATGTATACATAATGCATATACATGTATTTATATACATAATTGGTGGGAATATTTTTGTCTAATTTTGTACTTATGATGTATTTGGTATTTTTAAGATTTATAATTTTAAATTAGATTTTTTAGATTTATGTCTTTTTGGTATTAATGGAAGGAAGCAAGTGTCGTGCCTGAGTGGTTGGGTTGCTCCCTATGTTTGAGAGTTCTTGTTCAAGTCATTTACCCTCCCCCTCACCCTCCCCTCTAATCACTAACTTCTAAAATTTTTGCCATGAAAAAAATAAAATAGAAATGAAAAAAATAAAATAAAATAATTAAAGAATATTTTGTACATTTTGTAACAAATATGTAGTATTACTAAACATAGTTATTGTTTCATGTTTTCAAATTTGTGACAATAACAAGTGTTAGTAACGTTTTCGTTTTCTACTTTTCTATTTTCACTCAAGAAAGCAAAATCATATTTCTGCTTTCTTAAGACTGCAAAAAGCAGAAAATGAAACCGTTACTAACTTAATTCTAACTGGATTTGATGATTTTTTACCCACACCCAAGTATTAAATTTGGTAGTCTAACGCTAGGAGGTCCCCCCTCCCTCCAACTCTACTAGCGCCCTTTGGCATGATTTGATGATATTTGATTACTAACTTATATATTTATATTTTCCAGACCAGAGATATTTATATATAGATTATAATGATATTTAATAGATTAGAGTTAATAGGGAGATTGTAATGGGTTAAGTAATATTTAACAAGGTTAATTACGAAAATACCATCTTAAACAATATTTATCTTTTAAATCCCGTCAAATCTTGGTTTTTTAGACATAATTTGAAACATGTTAAAAACGGCATTTGAAATCCCATCATTTTTAAATCCCATTTATAATTCGATGATACCAAACAACGTAAATCTCATTTCAAAATCCAAATCCCATCAAATTTCCAAATCCAAATCCCATCAAATTCAGTATACCAAACTCAGCGTTTATCTTCTAAAAAAATAATACTAATAAATAAATTAGAATAAAATTAATAAAATAGCACAAACCCCTTAAACAGTATTTTCAATTTTGTCTACTACGTATTATTTTCTTGATTTAAAATAAGAAGAGAGCATGAAAAAACTATGAGAACCAAACTCGCATTTATCAGTGTCTTCATATTCCCTCATGGTTGATCACAAATCTTTCTGCTCCATATTCTAATTGGTTAAATTGATTTTAGGACAAAGTGTAAAAAAATTCTCCTGAATTATGTCCAAAATTGCAAATAGCCCCCTAAGTATTTTTTGTGCATAAAACTTCCTAACCTATTACAAAATTCCCCATTACCTTGACTATTTTTCATTAAATGATCATACTACTATTTCTTATTGAATTAAATTTGATCTGTTTTTCTTGTTAAAATAAATTTTGAAAAAAATTCATACTAAATATTCCCCATTAAATTTGCATAATTTTGTATTTAATTTTGAAATTAATTATTTAAATAAAAATCTTAAGTAGAAAAATTTGAAATTAATTTAAGTAATTTCTTAAATTCATGAATATATTGCATAAAAATGAATATATTTTTTATTTACGTAATTTATTAATATTGCATAAAAAGGAAGATATCTTTTATTTACGTAATTTATTAATTCATTAATATTGTATGAAAATGTTAACTAATAATTTATTTATTATTTTTTATTTTTATGACAAATTGATACTAATTATAAAATTAAAGTAAATGGTATAATTAATTTTTGAATAAGAGAAAATATAATAAAAAAATAATTTAATAAGAAATGACAATTTTAATAAGGAAAGGTAAAATAGTCTTTTGTGATAAGTTTGTCTTTAATTACAATAAATTAATAATTTGTGGGGACAATCTTTAATTCAGGGAGTTATTTGCAAAATGGCAAGAGTTTAGGAGGGTTTTTGCCCTTTACCCTGATTTTATAACTCTTGGACACTCCATTTCATAAAATCTAAAGCTAAGCTATAAGCTATACTGTCTAAACAATAAAATAAATAAAAGAAGAAACCCATACATTTTATTTTTTTATTTTTTTTACTACTTAGGGAAATTTTCTTAAAACTTATAACATTTAAATAGCTCTCCAGTAGCCCATACTATTATCAAATTTGCTCATCGATCCCCCTCAATATCATAACACCCCCAGTTTTGCAACTAAAAAACAAGGCTGATTATCACTTCTTGATGTGTTTCAACTCTTACCATTTTCAGGTCATATTTACAATCACCCCATAAACCATTGCCAAGCTTGAAGCTCTCGACCGAACTAAATTCCTGAAATAGTTGGTAGGTAGCAAAGTTGAACCATGTAACTACTTGTAGATTCTGGCACTGAAGAGGAGGTTGAAAAACTCAGTGGTTCAACACCAGTGCTTGAAACAAATAGAGGAGGAGCAGTTGAATAGAATGGTCCAAATGCCATTGAATTTGGAACTGAACAGGTCCTAGAGGTAACTGCTATTTGGCATTGAGGTTCACTAGCTACTATACCCTTAATAGAACATGTACACATTAAACATTACAGTGAAAAATCTTTTAGTAGACATGCAAAGTGTGCTGTTGATTTAATTTTCCTCGTCTTTCTCCATGTTTTCATACTAAAATCAACCGCATCTTGAATGGACTAATGCAGAAAAGTAGTAAAAAAAGTCCCTTCATTCATTATCTGTCTTTGAATTCTTGGTGGGCTGTGTGTTACAATTTTGTCCATCAGTGGTGAAGATTTACATCAAGTACACTTTCAAATTGTCTACCATATTGGTCTGCTGTAATTTCAGCATTGCAATGTGGTTGATTTGCCGAACTCTCTCTCTTGAAAGCTTTAATAGCCTTCCTATCTCCTCGAAAGACTGAGGGATCTCTCCATTTAGTCCATAGTGTAATCTCAGTATACGCGCTTCTCTATCACAGAGCGTATTGAGGAGGTTCTCCACCTCTTGCTTCATCAGCTGTTTTTTCACCATTGTTTCTGGCCTTGTTGCATCTGGCCCTGGTATGATCTCCTGCAACATATTGTGATTAAACAAGTTAAGATCGATCGATAGGTCCAACTAATCTTTCAAATTTCATTTCAAACTTACGAATAAGGTACTCAAATTGCCCAGATTCCGGTTAGTGCCTTTGAGGTAAGAATGCATATAAATTATTTCTAGTCAAATGGTTCTTTGATGGACTTTCAATAAATTGACTTCCTAAAGTTTAATGAATTGCTTCAGCATTTAATTTGACTGGCATCAACTTATTATAGTCGCACAAAAGAATTCAGTTTAATTAAAAATAAATAAAAATAGAGAGAAAGCAAGTCTGAAGTCATATTGGTGAAGCTTCAGTGCAATTTTCTGAAAGTTTAGGTTGAATTTCTTCATGTTCACCGGTCTTTAGGAATATAATATGGTATGTTGGATAAATGAATTTGAGCTTCTATAAAAAGTTGCCTATTGAAGTTGGGGGTCCGAAGTTTAATGGGGTGTTGGATTAGAGCTATGAGCATAGAGAACTCCTTGCAGCTTGTCATCCGAAATCTATTCATATAAGATTCTCAAATCAATCTATGCATATTCTTATAACTCTTTCTATAAATAATGCTATCACTATGAGCATCTCGACACACTCATATCTACGTGTGTGTCATATACACAGCATGAGAGAGGAGAGACATCTTCTTTCTATGCATTCATTGTGATGGAATTAATAAAAGAAATTAAGCTTCTTCCCATGCACCATTGTGATGAATTAGCACTCGATCAGTTCATTAATATTTTGAATCGGAAGACCAAAGAGTTGTAGAAGAAAACCTGTAATGTCATGCAACCTTGGTTGGTAATTGCTTGATCTAGGGAAATTGGCGCCTTGTTTCTTTCGGAGACGAGTCTCAAAGTTGAAACATCCATGTCAACAACATCTGCGATTTCATCATGGGAGGGCAATCGCCGCAACTTTATGCTTAACAAGGTGTTGGCCTCTGCAATTTTTGGCATCATCTGACATATGCTCCCCTACACATGATAGGCTAACCATGCATTCACTAATTACAAGCTTACCTTCAACAACATGACATATATGAAGTATTCTTTGCATTTCTAAAAGGAATGCGAAATTCAAAAAGAATAAGTCATCGTTTATCATGTGATTTTGATCATTAAGTGATTTGATGCTCTAAATGTGTCCACAGATTGCATTAGCACAAGAATCAGTGAACATGCCTACAAATGGTAACAACACCGCGTCCATGAACAGTATGTTATCAAATGGACAATATATATAACTATGTCTATGGGAAAGCATAACTGCTGTTCTAGCAAAATCTATAGTTGATTGCACCATGTAAATAAAATAAATAAATAAACAGGGAAAAGGCAGCAAAAAAGGATCCAGATAAAACACTGGAATTTTTTTGGTTATTCGTGTCACTATGTCCGTGGACAGACATTGATGAGAGCATAACTATGAATATTTTTCAAGGCACAAAACAACATCCTTGTTCCTTACTTTGGACACATTCCTCTATTCGTTGCCTGGTGGGCTGAAAGAACATAACAACTCCCCCACCAAACAAGTTTTGTAATGTTAAGTCGCTCAGATATTGGAACTCTAGCTTGAGAAGTAGAAATATCAATCACATAAGCACATATAATAAGAGACTAGGTGGTTTGATGGTCTCCCAAAGAAGGGAAGACTAACAAAATGGATAGCTCAAATTATTATGATAATCAGAATTCAAGAACATTCTGTCTGCTATGCAGTGTCTTACCGGTAATCTGATAACCCTAGACTTGTTTGCTATGGCCTTGGTGATAGCTTGCCTAATCCACCAGTAAGCGTATGTTGACAGCTTATATCCCCTCTCTGGATTGAATTTCTGTGCTCCAAGGAGAAGCCCAATGCTTCCTTCCTGCAGTTATGAAAAAAAAAAAAAAAAGCATTGCACCTTAAATCCTTGATACAATGCAGGCATAAAAATCAAATAGAAAATGGAAAGCGACCTGAATCAGGTCTTGTAAGCTTAATCCTTTCCCTTGATAACTATTAGCAACAGAGATAACAAGTCTCCGGTAACTGCATATGATTCTTTCCCGCGACTCTCTTCCATTACAGAAAATCTTATCTAGACTACTATTGCTCATCCCTACAGCCTTGGCCAGTTGCTTTGAGGTTGGCTCATGCTTGCTGGTTTCCGTAATCGTCCTTTTCGCTGCTTCTATCCTTGCTACTTCCTGTTAATTTACGAAATCTTCATATTGATTATGAACAGACACTTGGTCTAAGCAAAACAAGTAGAAATTGCTACAAATTGCTGCAAAAAAATCAGGAAAAATAAACTGTACAAAAGATCCGGTTGGATTGTTATAAAAAAACATGACCAGCAGATTTTGGATTGCTCATTGTATTTTAAAAGAATCTTGGGCATTTTATTGGATAATATAAATAGGGAAAGAAATATATGTTGGAAGCTAACTCTAGTAGAATTAGGCGTGGAATGAACTAGCAATAATTATTAATTGTTATCATTTTTTCCTAATAATTTGGTTGATTGTTAGCTTAAATAGTATGGTGTTATGGTCAGTCAAGCTAGATGGCTTGGATAGCCTTCTAAGTAGCAAGCATATAATCAGGTAATAATATCATTTTCTTTCCCTAATTTTGATCATATTTGTGCACACATTGAATCAGAAATTAGGGAATTCATCAAATGCATTTTAAAGTTTTCTTATCAATGAAATAACCTCCTAGTATATCTAAATGTGTGGAAAACTGAATTTAGTTTAACAAATAGAATTCCTTAATAAGCATACACATATATATATTTGAAATGTATTACGAATATCGCAACAATTAAGCTACATAAAACTCTGATTCTTCTAGATTTGTTAAAAAATTATATGGGTTCTGAGTAATTAATACCTTGAGACACAGAGAATACTCTGCTTCCTCTTTAGGGGTCAAATACCCTGACTTGGCAGTCCTGAATGAGACCTCTGTACATTCACCACTACTGTCCATCTCAATCTGTCCACATTCCAGACCCTTTCTTCTTTTCCTCCTCCTCTTCCTTCTCACTCCTGACACATTACTCCAATCTCTCTCCAACCCATTTCCATTCTCTCTGTAATCCGAAATCTTTCCGGCCTCAAAGGCCGAAACCGCGGCATCTCTAGCAGCCTGAGCTGCAGCACTCGCGAGTGCCACTGCCTCGGCAGCTGCAAGAATTGTTAGTGCATCATCGGAGACCAAACCAATGCCAAGCTTAGAAGAAGAGGAGATATGTGGAGGAGGATGGAGATGGTGGGGAGTCTTGAGAGAGGATTTGGTGGGGAGTGAGGAGAGAGAAATGGCGGGGAGAGTTGGGGAATGGCTTGAAGATGAGCATATGGAGATGGCCATGAACAATGAAGTATGGTGGTGTTATCCTGGATTGAGTAAGAGAGGCTGAACTTAGCTAGAGAATAAGGAGGATATTTTTTATTTTTGACTTTTTACAAAACAAAATTATGGGTTATTCACTTATATGTCCAAAAAGCTCAGAAAGTTTTTGATTTTTTTGTAAGGGGAATTTAGATATTTTGTCCCTGGATTGTGGGGAGACAGTGTCTTGTGCTTTTGTGCCTAGATATAAAAATGATATTAACTGTTGTACCATAGTTAAAAAAATGGTGATTAAAGTAAATTTTGATTCTTATTTACTCGTAAAAATAAAAATAAAAAATAAAAATAAAATAAAAATTAACTGTTTCTTATCTTATCTTTTATTTACTTTAATCACCATTTTTTGCGATTTTTTGTGTGGAGAATTTCATCCATAACAATGATGAATGGTGAAATTCACCGACATGAATAAATCATTACGACAGATAATTCGAGTTCGATATGCATGCTCATTTTTCTTTGAACTTGCAAAATTTCAGAAATAAAAAATGGAAAGAGAAAGAAGTTATGTGTTTAGGTACATTTAAATCTTGATGGGATCATCAAAATTCCTCCAAAGACTTATTCTAAAAGAACATTAAAAAAACTCAAAAATGTTTTTGGACTTATTTGTTTTATTGAATGGTATTTAGAGAAGATTGGTTAGCATATATTTAGCTCCCTCAATGTTTGATAGCTTTATTATTTTCTCTATAAGGATCGTCGTCCAATTTGATAACAATAGTATGTGATTTTATTGTTTTGTCTATGAATTATATATTGATATTTATAAATATTTGCAGATTATTATTATTATTATATATATATATATATATATATATTTTTTTTTTTTTTTTGCTTTGCACCATAAATATATGTAGATCTCAATCAGGTTGCTTGATTTATATAATAAAATGGGCTTTTTGAAGGGTAAAGCAATGCCCATTGTTACTTAGCTCAAGGTTGTTTAACAAACGAATGAATGTGATCGAAAGCCCGCAAATATGGTGCTCGAGGGGCGGCCACGGTGGTAGTGAATTGGATGTAATGTTTATGGGTTTGGTCATGTGAAAAATAGGTTATTTTGGTACATTCGCATTAATTACGTAGAAAATCTTTAATCCCTTGTATGCTTAACGGTGTAAGAAATCTGTTACATAAATTCGAACCTCATGGGAGGTAAGTGAAATTATAAAACATAAAGAAATTTATGTAAGATATTGACAAACCTCAAGCAAGATAAATAAAATTATGTCGGAATTTGTAAATAAACCCCTGAACTATGTCAGAATTTGCAAATAACTCCCTTAATGTATATTTTGTGGATATTACCCTATGGTGACCTTGTGAGCAAGTGCAAGACACTGACAGACTACCACACTGGGCGAGTTACATGTGCATAATTTCACATCGCCTGCGTGTGGAAAGGAGAAGTGATATATATGTAAGTGTGTCACTCCAATTGATATAAGGCTTTTGGAGTAAAACTCAAGAGCCAAACCGTGCGAGCTCAGGTCCAAAATGGATAATATCATACTATATGATGGAGTGGGTCATTACAAATGGTAACAGAGACTAACCTAGCAGGAAGTGTGGTCAACGAGGACATTGTGGCCCAAGGGGGTGATTGTGGCGACCTTGTGGGCGGGTGTGCGCGAGCTGCAGGTGCACATTCCCACATGGCTTAGGTGTGGAAAGGGGAAGTGTAGTGGGTTTGTCACTCTAATTGGTATGATACCTTTTGTAATACCCCTGATTTTAAAAGGATAGTCTCGGCATTTTAATATTTATTTTATTGTATTTTTATTTGTTTCATTGTTAATTTTATTTGTTTAATTGTTTAGTTGCATTTATTATTTGATATTTGATTTATTTGAATTAATTGTTATTATGTGAATTATTTGACTTATTTGAATTGTTTAACTATTGTGTGTTATTTTCTTTAATTGTTCAGTTGTATTTTTTATTTGGAATTCATTTGTTTTAATGAGATTAAATTAGTGTAATTATTATAATGTTAAAATTTGGTTTATTAAATTAGTGTTACGGTTATAGCTTTAAATTAAATTCACGTATTAGCCGACTTAACAGTTATCTGTTCCTTCCTGGATCATATTAGAATTAGGGTTATATTTTTACCGAGTCTATAAATATGTCATTACGTTAGGCTTAGGGTTTTAAAAACATATAACCATAGTCTACTCATGTAAAGAGAAGGTTGAGATAACAGAGGCACCTTTAGGGCTACCAAGGAGGAAAACAGAGAGAACTAAAAAGGTTGATCGTGGATTAGAGCCGGAGTAGTAGGAGGCTTGACGGTATTCAGTAGTTGCCGGAAATTCAGAAACAACGCCAAGATTTCATAACTGAAATCACAAGCAAGTTTTTTTATTCCTCTTTCCCGTTGGCTTGTGTTCTGTGCACCTGGACAGCCTATAGGGTTTAATTGATCATTAACTGAAACTTACATGTTTATTATATATTATATTGATGATCTGTATGCGTTGAATCAATTCTGTTACAGTTCTTGCATGTCTGAGTTTCAATTTTGGTCTTTAAGCAAGCTAAATCGGTAGCGGTTTTAATCACTGTAATTGATTCTAACTATTGTAAACAAACCATTGGGATGCTACTAGGTATAAATATGACTCTTAGGTTCAGTATTAAAGAGGAACAAATGAGTTGGAATGGCCAGAGACGGAGCAAATGGGCTGAAACGGAGTAAAACTAGACTAGAGGCTATCAAAGAGGGAGAGAACCGGCTCCCACACCCTTAGAGCCGGCTCCATGCATTAAGGAGCCTGCTCCCAAGTTCATGGAGTAGGCTTTTTCATTTTTTGTTCATTCTGGAATTTTTCGGCGTACTGTTTCAGTATTGTTTGGATGTTTGGATCGTTCCGATAAATTTTGGGACTTTACTGGGGGTTTTAGTAATTAATTTTAGGGGTTACCAAGATCTCTAATTACATATGTTACCCCGTTATATTCATTGAATTAACAGTGCATAATTTAATAACTTTGCATGCTGTTAACGGTTGGAAGGAAATTAATTGCCTAATTTTAATCCGGCGATTTAATCGATTATAACATGATTTTAAATCTTGTTTTAGATGCACAGTATGGTCTTTTATTTAATAAATTGGACTTATGCATGCTTTGGACTTTAGTTGCTTAACTACTATTTAAAATTATGTAGTTTTACATGGTTTTGAACTGGATTATACTTTAGATTTTAATTGCTGAAATATTACACATTATTCTCCAATTAACTGGATTATGGTTTTGGATTTTAATTGTTGAAATAAGTATACATTATTCTGCGATTAACTGGATTTTAGTTTCAAACTTAAATTGCGGAAAATTATACATTATTCTGCAATTTTCTAGATTATGGTTTTGAACTGGATTATGGTTTTGGACTTTAATTGCTGAACTGTTATTTAGGTTATATAATTAATATGGATGTTGTGGATTGTACACACCGGTATGGGACGGTGGCATACTGGGATGGTTTAGCTCAAAATGCTAAAACCTATTTATTGGAATAAGGGAATTGATTGAAAAAAATTGAATCCTACTTATATTTAGGTCAGATCAACTGAGTAAGTTGAGTGACCACCTAGATTAACTGTTGGATGTAGTTAAGTCATATCAACTGAATAAGTTAAGTGACTGACTGGATTATGAATCGTATGTAAGATCAATGAACAATTGAGTAACATACTATGGTTTTGGACGGATTTTAGATATATGATTATGGTACCGTGATGTGAGCTTGAGTCTCGTAGTCGATGGTTAGGGCGCATATATGTAGTGAATGCGTAGCTGGCTATGATAGGTTGAGGTGTACCTTGTTAGGTCTAGGTACTCATGCCCACCTTTGGGTACGTTTTTGCATGTTTTCTTCTATTCAGGTTGAAACCCCTTTTTACAGTCCAGTGAATATCCCTTAGTATGGATATATATATATGCATGGACTAGATAGATATTGTTGATATATCTATGGTGTATCTGCGTATCGGGTCACTGTATGGATTGCAATTGGATTAGAATTTGTTCGTGGACTTGACCCACTCTTACATTTTTCAGGTATCGGACGGTTTCAGTCTTAGGCTTGATCGTGCTGAACAGAAACTATCATTCACTCTACCGACGACGTAGGGTTTCATTCCATATTTTAGATTTGGTTTTATTTTCAGTTATTTTATGTTCAGTTGGGATTTGATTTAGGGGTCCACTAAATGGATTCCCGAGTTGTACTTTTGGAAGTTTTGGAGAATTGGATTCTACTATTCCTTATCATTTGGAGGATTTTATATTTAATATTTCTTTCGGTTTCATTATTTAAATTTCTTTTTTGTATTTTGTGTTCGTTTTAAAATATTAATTGGTTGATATTCCCTCGGGTCTGGGCTTAGGCCTGATCAACCCGTGTCTCGGATCCGAGGGGTATCACACTTTTTGGGGGTAAAACCCAATAACAAAACCGCGTGTGTGCTCGGCCCAAAACAATTATATTTCATTAAATGACCATAATGCCCTTTATTATTAAATTACCTAGAAAAATTTAAAACAATTTAAGTAATTTCTTATTTTTTCATAAAATATAATGCATAAAAAGGTATTTTTTAAAAAAGTAATTTTATTAATTTTTCACAAATATATTGTATGAACAAAATGGTACTTTATTGTAAAAAAATTTAAAGTAAGTATAATAAGTTTTATTATAGATAGTAAATTTTTAATAATAAGTTAATAATTTTAGAAAATGGTACTTATAAATTTTTATGATAAATTGATACTAATAATACAATTAAGATAAATAGTATAATTAATATTTTGATAAGAGAAAATATAATAAAAATAATTTAATAAAAAAATGACAAATTTAACAAGAAAGGATAAAATACTATTTTGTGACGAGTTTGCCCTTGATTTCAACACATAATTTAGGGTATTTGATTCTGTAGTTCAGGAATTACTTGCAAAATGGGTAATACTTCATATGGTTTTTGCAGTTTACTCTATATTGGAAGGCTTTTCAATTCATTAATATATATATATATATATTTCACACACACAAACACTTTAACATATATATTTTCCCCACACGGGGATTAACATCACACGCTTCCCTTCTTGGCGCCAAAATTGCTTCTGATAGTGTCCTCTCTGTCCATGTCCGTTCTGCAGAAAACCTAGCGCCTTCTCACACGTCACAGAGCGGATCTTAGGGTTCTCAAAGATCCCAATTTTTTTCCCCCTCAACTTCGAAACAGCAAAAAGATACCTCCAACAATGGTAGAGCCTAGAACAAAACGCCGAAAAATCAGAAGGTTTGCACACAAATACACACATATTTTTATATATCTGTATTTATTTCCGTTTGACTATATTTCTTAGTTTCCGTTATGACGATTCTTTAACCACAATGTTGCGATCTCTTCACATTTTTTGTCATTATTGATTATTAGGGTTTGATAACGCGTTTAGTACTCTTACGGTTATTTTTTATTTTATTTTTTTTGATTAAATTATAGGATTCGAGTTTCATTTTTGTTCCTTTTCTGTAATTTAAGTTAATTTATGGCGTTTGCCTAAAACGTTAAGGACAAGAGAAGTGTAAAAAGGAAATACTTTAGGGCGCTAGATTGATGTTCAGCGAGAATGAAAATTTTGCTAAATTTGTTTTACGGCGGCATTAATTGAGTTTGGGTTTTGTTTTCTTCATTATTACATATCTCTGTTTACTTACATTGTTCACTTATATCTCTCAACCGTTTTAATAAGCTTCACATTGTAATCATTTTTGAGTACAAGGGCTTATACAGTTGTTTAATGGGCTTCCACTTTTACCCTTTTTTGAAAATAGTATTAGAGTTTTTACAGTTGTGTGTGTAATTTTTTTTTCTTGCTTCTATGAAGTAAGACAGAGAATTAACTTTCAGTTTACTTCTGTTTCACTATTACTATCCTCTGTTTGGTTGCTGAAAGAGCTGAGGATAAAAAGTAAGTAATATTGCCAATGAGAAAAACTCATTTATCATGTCTTCCATTTTTCACTATATTACTTTCAGTTTACTTCTGTTGAGCAAATGTTTCTGCTTTCCGAGTCCCAGATTAGAATAATTGAAAATCTGAGATTTGATTGTTGAAATTATTTATTTTATTTTTCATATTATATCATACTCAAACTAAGAAACAAGAAAGAAGTCATATTTCATATTCAAACTAGGGATTATAATACAAAGAATCAAAAACCATAACAACCATTTATCCCAATGAGAAAAACTCATTTATCATGTCTTCCATTTTTTTTTCTTTTCCCAGATGCGATGATGATTATATGCCAGGAAATATAACAGAGATCAAGCTCCATAATTTCATGACCTTCAGTGACATAACATGCAAACCAGGTTCGCGGCTAAATCTTGTCATTGGACCAAATGGTTCTGGCAAAAGTTCTATAGTATGCGCCATTGCACTTGGTCTTGGTGGTGAGCCGCAGGTTAGTGAAGACTAGCATTTTTATTAATCAGTAGTTCTGTTTTTTGAACTGTATGTAAGATGGGGACGTTGTCTTTGTGCAGCTACTTGGAAGGGCTTCAAGTATTGGAGCTTTCGTCAAGAGAGGCGAGGAATCTGGGCATATCAAGATTTCTTTGAAAGCAAACAACGAGGAGGAACACATTACGATTATGCGTAAAATAGATACACGTAACAAGTCTGAGTGGCAATTCAATGGTGAGATATTGAAACTGTGACCTGTGGTATTAAACAATAATATTGTTAACCATTGACAATCTTTCCACCCTCGCCTGGTAGTTTAACCATTGACAATCTTTAAACAATGAATTCTTTAACTTTTTTGAGTACTTTAAATACTGAAGATTATATATAACAAAGACAACAATAATTACCACAAGTCAGGAACTCAAGATAAGTCAAACACCGTGACAACTTTTTGGCTGGCTTGTTTGCAGAATTTTAAGTTATTAAGAATATACCTAGACTTTATGATGGAGAAGATCCTTTTGAATCACTAGTGAGTCTTTCTTGGGGCAGCGGGTGGCAAGATAGTTTCAGGTTTTATAAAGACCCCCCTTTAATTCCTAAGGCACGACCCTGCCCCTTTTAACGATGTTTCTTTTCCATCCTAAATAGTTGGAATAAGGATTCTATACATTTATGCGTATTTGAGAGATAATTGTTAAATTGTTTTTCCAAATTGTTTTCATCATGCCTGCATGTTTGTATGATATATACTCAACTATACATGCATTGTTTTCTTTAAAGCTTAGTGCTTCTCAAACGAAACAAAATGTAGAATCACCTATGAATTGGTTGACATGTTACCTTTTCGGCTAAGAAGCCTACTAGTATTATGATGTCTTGCTTTTCTAGACTCTCTATGTTTGTGTGTGTATGTGTTCCATTCGAGCATGTCTGTTTTTAATGCAAAAAAGCAAAATCGCCTGTGTACACTAGGAAGAATGATTGACTAATTCCTTACATGATTTGTTGGTTTCAGGAAAAGTTGTTCCAAAAAAAGACGTGACTGAGATTATTCAAAGGTTCAACATACAGGTCAACAATTTGACTCAAGTGAGTTCTTGAAATGACTTTCCCAAAATGTTCAAAATACCAACCAATGGGACACTATTTGGAGTTCTTAGTGTTGTTTCTAAATGCACTACTTTGGATACATTTTTCATGTTCTTGTAATGGGATGATGCTTTTGGTATTACTTGAGTAGCTGTCTAGATGCATTACAGCAATTTGTTAGATGATATAAATACTCAACTCATACACTTTATAACAGCTTAAGCTTTTAGAAGAGTTGGTTAACATGGTATTAGAGCAGATAAGGTTCTGAGTTCAAATCACATTGCCACTGGTAATCATAATTGATGTATATGTTTGCCCGCTCATGATGGTGTAACTAAAGTATTTATGTCCTTTAATTAAATGCTCGTGACAGAATTTTAAAATGTTTACTTTTCAATGGTTGTATTGATAGTTGTTCTTGGTGATTTTAGTTTTGATATAGTTTTCTTTTTTAATCTCAGTTTTTTGTGCAAAGTTTAGCTGAAAATTTTATATGCCATAGCACCTGGCCCTAACTTATATTCATTGTCCGTTATGAAATACTCAAATCTTTTAAAGACGAAATAAGTTGTTACATTATCAACTTTGAAGGTACATTATGCAAGCATCATATTTGTTGGGATGATTTTTTGGATGGATGTCTTTCCCATGTAAAAATGTTATTTTGTTAACAAGGTTGGCACAGTTCTTATCCTTCTCCATATAACTAGCAAAAACAGGGAATATATCTACATAAGACATATGTCATATTACATTCAGGAGTTTGGGATAAGAATTCCAACTTTTTGGTTGATTTTCACTTAATGCACTAAGGTGGCTGTGGCTCTGATCAAATTGATTTCTTTCTGGCTAGGCAATTTCTTTATTTTTCACATTTTGTAACTTGTTTTATTGCAAGACTAGAAAGTGTCATACTGAGGTTTGGTGCAAAATGGGAAAAAAAGCAAAAAGTTATTTGAGTTTGGAGTCAAATGAAACCGGAAGACATTTTGTGGCACATTGTGGGTTCTTGTGGTTGAATAAACAACGGGGTGCCACATGTAACTTATTGAAACTTGAAATTCCAGATGGAATAGTTTAGATGAAGTTGAGGCTAACTTATTGAAAGTCTAGATGGATTAGTGTCACTCACATTGATGTGGTGTTCAATGAGATACCACCACCTGCAATCGGTTGTATAATTGAAATGCGGTAAGGATGGCACTGTGGTTCTAGTGCAACAGTAGGGTGGTGATGAGTTGATAAGCTTTCTTAGCACGCTTTTTATTAGTTTACAAAACATTCTTCATGCGGTTTCAATAGGATGTTTGTGTGTTAATGGGGGATTTTTCTTGGAAGGTAGTCAATATGTGGTATATGTTGTCCATTATGATGCTGCCAAGTCGTATACTTGTATGAGGAATATGTTATTCAGGAGTCAAGTGATCTCTCTCTCTCTCTCTCTTTCTCTCTCTTGTTTTCTCTATGAGCTAAATTGAGTAGTGTAGATCTAAGATGAGGCCTACTAATTTGTGACTTTGTAGTGGCAACTTACTATTCTTTTTAGGTATTGGATCAATGTTAAATCTAACTAATCTTTTCTGTTGTAATTCGCTTCCATAACATAAAAATCTTCTTTCTACTTGTCAATTTCTAGTCTCTCCCTCTCCAACTTCTATTGTAGTGTTTTGTTCCTAAGCTTTAGAGGATAGGGGGCAATTTTAAGTTTTTGATGTATATAATATATATATTTTTAGCATTCTTGGTTCGGTTGCTGATGTGCTATGACAATTGAAATATGGTTATGACTTTATTCCGTATATTAAGGATGTAGACTAATATATTAGATATAGGGCAAGTTCTTCTTCTACCCACCCACACCCCCGCTCGTGAAACGTAAAACTCTACCAATAGAGGAGTAAAGGGAACTACAACAGAAGGATGATGTTTCTGAAAGAGGGATGAAGAAAGGACAAAAGAGAGGAAGCATGAAATTTACCCTCCCCTAACCCCAAACAGAAAGAAAATAAAGAACAAAAATATAAGAAATGTGACAAATGCCCGAGACAAGGATATTAGGAGGAGTTCAAAACCAAAGAAGATACCAATGAATCAATGACAAGGACTTCTTGGTTAGCTTTCAATTTATTCGTGGTTCTTCTATCTGTTGCTCAATCATGAATCTTTATGATTCATTTGTGGTTTTTTTCTTCTTCTTCTTCTTGTTCTCATTGTCTCTTCATATTGCTCTTGTTTGTACTGTTTACGATACTCTTAATGTATTTACTGCCTGTCTCACCTTTTTTCCTGGACATTTTATATCTAAATTGGTTTCTTTTCATTTTTCTTTTCTTTTTATTTTTTATTTTTGGGACGGGTTTTGTAGTTTTTACCACAAGACAGGGTTTGTGAGTTTGCTAAATTAACTCCAGTACAACTCTTAGAAGAAACTGAGAAGGCTGTTGGTGATCCTCAATTACCTATCCAGCATCGCACTCTTATTGTTAAAAGCTTTGAATTGAAGAAACTTGAAAATGTAAGTTTCTAAATTCACCTTTTGCCTGGTCATAGTATTTTTAATTTCAATAGGTATATTTCTACTAAATAGCAAGCAACTGGCCCCTTCTATAATAGACCGTCAAGCAGAATAGAGCTACTTTGGATCAGCTCAAGGCACTTAATGCTGAACAAGAAAAAGATGTTGAGCGTGTTCGGCAAAGAAATGAGCTTCTTGCAAAGGTTTGTTTTTATGTCACTTAACTACATTTTTATTCAAAGCAACTATTTTAATCCCTTTCCACCCTCATATGTAGGTTGAGTCTATGAAAAAAAAGTTGCCATGGCTTAAGTATGATATGAAGAAGGCCGAATATATGGAAGCTAAAGAGCATGAGAATGATGCCAAGAAGAAGTTAGATGAAGCAGCTAAAATGTTAAATCTTCATAGAGAACCTATTGAGTATGTTGACTAGCTTAACTGATGTGATATCTTTTTTCCTTTTTAATGTCACAAATCGATCTTTGGATATCTACTAAATATGGAGTTTACCTGTGGCAGAAGACATGTATATTACCACTTTCCCCTTTTGACACATTGACGCATTTACATGCCTGATATTTTTACTTCTTGAATTGCCTTTTAAGGTTTTTAAGGTCATTGGACACATTATCAATGCATGCTAGAAAATATCTTAATGCTGTGGCTTATGATATAATCATCTGGGAGCCTAATTTTTTTATTAGCACTTTAAGGATGAAAATAGTGACTAATGATTATTTTTCTGCTTGAATCATTTATTGCTGCAAATGCTGCATGTGAAGTGATGAACATATACTCCATGGAAAATTTCTACTCTATTCGAGCTACCTGAGTCCAACAATGAGTTAGATCTACAGCCATACATTTCATATTCGAACAGTTCTCAAAACAAGAAAAGATACGGGGCCAAACATGAGAGGTAAAGAAGTTTCAACTTGCAATTCATGAGAAGGTGTTCTACAACTTCAGCACTCATCCTGCACATGATGCAAAGCTCAGGAAGCTTCTATTCTGTTGATATGGTTGTGAATAGAAAGGATGTCATCTATATTAATCTATTCGCAGTAAGCAACATTTGATGGAATTTTCATTTTCATATTAGATGCAGATAGGATTGAATCTGTCATTTCATCTGAGAACTGGATTGAGTGAAAACAACCTGCCTATCCCCTGGATGGACCATGCCAATGTCTGATGGGTATATTAGCTCCGGTTAGCACATTTTAGGATCTCTTGGAAAAAAAGTCCATGGTTTCTACCAACTTATAAAGCTCATTATGTGAAGCATGCAAAAGTTCTTTCTGGCCGTGTATGTTGCTAAAACTGACATCTTCTATGATGTTGGGGAAACTTCTAGACATGATTAGGGTATATGATTCTTGATTTAACTAAGCTTTCGTTTGAGGGAGATTGCAAGGCTGGTTCAAGTTAGACGAGTGTAAGAGCATCCATGATTCCATGTGTTCACACCACTTCAATAATCTTATGAGATTGGTTGTTGATCTGTTTATAGCTTTGGATATGGAGATTAAATAGGCCTTAGATCTTCAGATGTTAAAGCGATGTGGTTGGTTAAGTAGCAAGGGTTCATGTCTGGAATTTTACCATCCCAGACTATTTTTCTACGACTGTTTCTTTTCTCTTTTCAGTTTGGGGATTTTTTTTGATAATTTTTTCTGTTATGGGAATATGATTCCCATTTTAACTAAGCTTTTGTTTGAGGGAGATTGCAAGACTGGTTCGAGTTAGATGGGTGTAAGAGCAGTCCATGATTCCATGTGTTCATAATACTTCAATAATCTTATGAGATAGGTTGTTGATCTGTTTATAGCTTTAGATATGGAGATTAAATGGGCCTGAGATCTTCAGATGTTAAGTAGATGTGGTTGGTTAAGTTGTCTAGGGTTCATGTCTGGACTTTTACCCTCCTAGACTATTTTCCTAGGTCTTCTCTTTTCTGTTTGGGGTCCTATCCTCCCCCCCCCCCCCCCCCCCCCCCCCCCCCTCTCTCTCTGGATAAGTTTTGCTGTTTGGGGATCTTGTGCTTAGTGTTTTCCTTTTCTTGCTTAAATATGCTCATCCTCTCCCTTTTCTATTCTTCTCTCTGTCTCTCATTCTTCTATAAATTCAGCTTGTTTCTTATTAATGAGAATCCTAAAGAATTGTATTTACATCTGCTAACATAAGGGTGGAAATACTTATTAATAACCACTCTCTGCATGATTTAAATGCATTACACAGTGAATTATTTCCAATAGAGTTTTTGCTGCTTTGACTAATCTCCGAAGAGTACCATGAGCTCCCAAAAGCAACTTATCATAGAAAGCTTCCATTCACAACTGACATTCTTTTTAATTAGTAAACCACCGCTCCCTAGTTTTATCATTTGTAATTTAGTCCAACGTCACCTAATGCTCTTTCAATCCCTAAAGAAGTAATTTTTGGATCTGTTGGTCTTTGTATTACTAATCTAGTAATAGAAAACAAGAAAAAATAAAGTATGTAGAATTAAGAGCTATGAAGGGTTTTTCTTGTCTTCTTGGACAATAGCTTCTTATTGCCAATAAACAGCGCGTCCTCTCAACCATATTAGGATCCCATAGACGTAGTTCTTCTGATTGATGAACCTAGAAGAATGGTGAAATGAAGTGTTCTTACGAACAACACTCTGATTGATGTTTAGCAAACTGATCTGGGCCAACTTCCCCCTTTTGAAAGCTCAAAGTGCCTTGAAAATATGAAATTATGGGAAGTTGATGCGAGTAACTTTGCCTTTTTTTTTTGGGGCAAATTTCATGGTCAAAACTTGTTTAATCAAGTTGTAATTTTATGTTTACCTTGAGTTTCAATTTAGGAAGCTGAACGACAAGTGATCTACACAAGCTCGATACTTATCGATCGGATTTGAACGTCACTTAGGTCAGGTAAATGTGTGTGTGAGTACACTTGTTTTTTATGAAGGTTTTTAAATGTTTTGAAGAGTAAAAATATGTATCGAAAATCTTGGAACATAAGTTGAGTGGACCTTGAAACAACATCCATGTATGGTGTTGTATTAAGTCAAATTCTGACATATCTGTCTTATTTCTGCAATCTCTAACTGCATACTTGGAGTTTTGTGATGATCTTCATATGATCAGAAACTAGACTCGATAAGCATTCCAACAAGTGTTGAGTTTGTTTGGCTACTCAATGAAGTCTAGAAAGTCAGGTCTGCTGCGCGCTTTGGAAACGTTCCAGAATGCAACACAACCTGTTTTGGCCTTCTCTAGAACTGGTTTTACTTGGTCCAGAATGCTCCAGAAACGGTTGGGACAAATTTAGAACTGGTTGGAGGTGTTCAAATTTGTTCAAAACTCCTATTTTCTGATTTATTTGATTTCCTTTTTCAACCCAAATACAATAGACTACCTAAAGTGTTTTTAAAATTCTTTTTCATCAGTTTTAAGGACTCTTTTGTATATAAAAGCTCTTCTCTTTGCTTGGGGGAAAAAAAAGCTCCTCTTTGCTAGCACACAGAGACACATACAGACACCATTGTCACTTGTCAGAGGTTAGAGTGAGTTTTGAGAACAAAGTCAGACTGTTACTTTTTTTGAGTTTGTCTATTTATTTTGGGAGCACACAGATACACGTGAGTGTTTTAGTGTGGTGTTCATAATGTTTGATCGATCGTACTGTGAGCTTCATACGAGTATCCAGATTGGTTAGAGCAACACATTTTCTTTGCATCTTTTTGTTTGAGTGAAAGGAATGGGAATCAATCACAGGGACAGATTGTTCATGGAGTAATCGTGTTCTATCAGCAATTTGTCTACAAAATAAATGGAATAAGACTCGAGTATGCAGTAGCTGGACGTGGAGTTGCAGGAGTAATACTGGGATGTAAAACAACTAAATCTTGGCAGAGTGTAGTGGGTGCAAGTCTGACTTAGAGCTGGTTTGATTTTGCTTCGAGATGGTGGTTTGATTTGCTTGAGACGGCTAGTCTCCGTGGTTTTTCCTCTCCGAGGTTTTTCATGTAAAAAAAATCTTGGTGTCATCTCTTATTATATTATATTTTAATAAATTGTGTGTGATTTAGTGTGCTTAAATTAGTTAAAATAGAAAATAATTTGAAAATCAATCAAACGGGCAAACTAGACCTATTCACCCCCTTCTAGGTCTTGTCTGAGATCAAACTTCCGCACCACGCAACTCGGAATTGAGGGATGTGAATTTGAGTTTTGGTGCCAATTTATAAATTTTTTTTGCATCATAGTGGATGTTCATTTTTGTGCTCTTGCGCATGGGGTTTCACTGGGGATTCCTGAGTATGCTCCTGTAAAGTTGAAATCTTATCATTGAATTTGCAATTTCTTTCTTCAATTCTAATGTTATTTTACTGTTGAAATTCACCTTTATATGATGCTTAGATTTGTAGATGTGGTGTTCGTTAAGGTTCTTCTTGTTTCTTACTATTAGAGAAGTTGAATATGCATAAACTTTTATTGAGAAAATCCAGTGCCAAGGTGCTAAGATAAAACCTTTTTTTTTTTTCCTAATAATATAATGCATGTTGATGATTTAAGTGATGGCCTTTCCTTTTAATATTTAGTATTTGAATTAATGCAAGACAGATCCTATGCTTGCTAGCTTGATGAGAGACAATTAGGTAGAATTGGAGTGGTAATTGGTGATATTTCTGGCTGAAGGGAGTGTAGAGGGGGCTGAATAACTATTTTGAGACAAGTGAGGAAGAAGCTGCCATGCGTCTTTTTATATCTTTTCTAAATTGTTTACTATGATCTATCTGGTGAAATTTTATTGATCTTATGAGCATGTTGAGAAGGGGATTGAAGCAGTGGAGTAGCTTAATTGGACTGCAAAATGTTGCAATGGTCCTCATTGTGCAGAATTGTGTCTTAGGATTATGCAACACGGTAGTCAATGATTAGGTGGAGCGCATTACTACTTGCTTCAGACACTAGAGCATTCTTAGAATTCATGAAGGATGTGGAACATTGGAAATTGAATATTGCCAATTTATGCTTCCTAGATTCCCTTTGGATCATTAGTGAAGTTTGGTCTTCCCCCCCACCTATTTTCTCTTCTCTTTGGGTGCATTTGGTCATCTGAGGTCTTGACTATTCTAGCTTTGAGTAATAGGAAATTCTCAGGGAGCAGAATCTCCTTAAGGATGGACCTTCGGTTTTAATCATTCTTTTAAGCTTATGAATGGAGTTTTTTTATTTTTTTTAAAAAAACTTTAAACGTAAACTTGATGCATTTGATTTTTCTCTACTCTATAAAAAATCATGTAATTACTTCTTGAATTTGTTTCTGAAGGTCCTGAATCATTATTCATGAGTTGAATATGAAACTCTATTTAATGTTTTGATGCAATCAGTCACTAGTATGATTTTTATCCCATGGCTGAGAGGTTGGTTTGACCATATTAGTTTGTGTGAATGTTAAAAGCTGAACTGAAATTTTCTGTTATTTAAGAGGATAATGATTGTATCATTAAACTAAGAATGGTCGTGGGGATTAGGTGTCACCGTGTCAGTTTTTAATGTTTCAAAATTTGTTGAGGTTTTGTTCAGGGACAAAATGGTCCTAATCACACTGTAATATTTCTCTACTTTACCCTATGTTTTTCCTTGTTGCATTTTCACCTAATTTGTTGTTTTGAGTTAACTATATCCCTTTCTGGAAAAATTGGTTGCAGGAAACTGAAGGAGGAGAAGGCAGTGCAAGATGCTAAACATAATAAAGTAAAAAGTTTCCTGAATGAAAATTCAAAGAAACGCATGGGACTTCTGGAGAACGAAAATCGTTTAGTATGTTACATTTAATATATAAATATTTTTGTTGGTTTTGGTGTTGGGTTTCTTCTGCATTTGTGTATATAGATGTAATATCTATCCAATGTCTATATTTAGTTTCAATCTTCACTTATAGGGAGTGCAAGTACGGGGGAAATATAACGAAATGGAAGAGTTGAGGAAGCAAGAAGATTCCCGTCAACAAAGAATTGCAAAAGCTAGGGATGATTTGGCTGCAGCTCAGCTGGAACTGGCAAACCTTCCTCTGTTTGAGCCCCCTAGGGATGAACTTGTATGTAAACTTTCTCGCCAAAATTGCTATTATACTTTGGAAACACGTTGTGGTTGCGAGTAAGTTGAGAGAAGCGTATAAAAACCAGAAGCTAGGGAGAATAATTCAGTTCTTGTGCTGGTTGGGATTGAAATTGGCAATTTTGCGTTGAAGCATTGTCAGAGAAGAGAATGTCCTTAACCAGTTCTTATAAGAATAAAAAATTTCAATCATATGACGTATACCATGTTCTATATAGTTCAGTTGCTTTTTAATTATTCATTCAGTCTACCTCATGATTTAATGAGCTGTTATCTACCTTTTTGCATCCTTAAATGTTCAAATTAATAGTCAAATGATCAGTATTTCACCGATGTGTATCTTCTTTAATTACTATTCTGGAAATTTAATCATAGGTTATGTTTGCTGGTCTTTGTCAAGCTTACTTAATTTTGTCACATTCAACTCTCGCTTTTTAACAGGAAAGATTAGGTGCTCAGATTTTTGAGCTGGATCTCTCTCAAAATCAAAAGAGGCAACAGAAGACAGAGAAGGAAAATCTTCTTGGACAAAATAAAGCAAAATTAAGACAATGCATAAACAAGTAAAGTTCTTCTGCAGACTAATTATAAAATTGATATGCCTTCCTATCTGTAATTTAATGACTCTCACTTCAACTCCTTTTATATAACATCTGCAGGTTGAGGGATATGGAGAATACTAGTAATAAACTGTTGCAGGCACTACGGAATTCCGGGACTGAAAAGATTTTTGAGGCCTATAACTGGATTCATGAGCATCGTCATGAGTTCAAGAAAGATGTGTATGGTCCTGTGTTGCTTGAGGTATCTATGGGAGAATTTTGACGACTATGCTTCTTGTTTGATTAAATTGATCTTGATTTTAATTTTTCATTTCCCCCTAATTTTGATTGTTCAAACTCAGGTTAATGTCTCAAATCGAGTTCACGCTGACTACTTGGAAGGCCACGTCCCTTATTACATGTGGAGGGTGATTTTTAGCTCCGACACTTTTGTTCTTTCAAATTTTGAACTATCACATGCTTCTGGAATATTATTTACTGTCATTCGTGTTCAGCATACATCTTATATTGTTGTCTTAAGGTTCATGCTTTGCATCTACACTACCTGATGGTTCAAGAGTTATTGTAGAGACCTTCTGATTGATCCGACACAATCTAGGCCAAATTCAACAAGCCAAGACAACTGTATTTTTAGATGGACCTTGTTGAAGACCTTGAAGACTCGGAAAAGAGCCGTTACATGGCTGGATTAGCCACGGTGATAAAAAAGAATCCATTATAAAGGTTCTTCTAACTAATATTTGCAGTTGTAAGAGGCCCAAGTAGTTGAGTAGGACTAGGCCTAAGCCTAAGCCAGTCTGTCAACCCTATAGTCAGCCAATTGCTCTTTTGGAAAGTAACAAGGATCATCTTGGAGTAGAGTTGTTTATGGAATCCAAAATTATTTTGGTTTTTCCTTAAATTTTTTGAACTTTGTGAAAGTACCTAGGTCCAACCTATTTTTTTGATTATACCAAGTCTGTATCTTAGTGAATAAAAAGAGTTCAGAATTTTTTGTTAGTTCAATACTAGGAAAGGAAATGGGGCCTGTTTGGAATGGGGTAACCCTGCCCCTGAACCTGCCCTATAAGGAAAGTCTCCTTCTGAAACCCATTGCAACCTAGAGACGGTCCAGTGTGCGGGACAGTGCATGTTCTTGCCGGCCAGCTGTGATCCATCAGGTATCTGATTTCAGTTTTTTTTTTTAATTTGACTTTATATGACACCAAATAAATGTTGGACCATACCTTGTCACAAGAATTGTCTTTACATACCATATGCTCAGTGGCTGACCCATACTCCTTACATTATAACTTCCTTTTTGCGTACTTTTTGTTGCCTCTTTGAGGGATGAGGAGGCTGGTTGAGAGTTGTAGAAAACATCCTGAGAGAAAAAGTGCAATGTGTGGGCGTAAGAAATTAGTCTTTATACACCAAAGCCATTCCTTGTTATTAATTTACTTGTACACACAGACACACCCTTATAAAAGTGAGACTACAACTAGAAGTGCCATGCAGATATGAAATAGTTGAGCACTTCTCAATAGTTTATGGCACTATTTCACATTTGGGCTTTACTCCGACGATGTGCACCATGAACTCCAAGCTGTTTTCTAGGCTTCTCCTTGCGGCAACGTTTGAGGCCTAGACTGCCAACTCTTGAAAACAAATTGACATGCTACATGGATGCTTGAATAGAGATTGGGCATGGAAAAGCAAGGGTGCCATTTATTTGAAATGCATGTGGGGATTTGTGAAGCATTTATAAAAAGAAGAAAGCCATAATGAGTGCCATTACCAAGTGCCAGTCCCAGCAATGCAGGGTGTTGTGAGATGAAGGCAGGAGACATACTTAGTTATTGTGATTAGTTTGCCTAAGGTGGTTTATCCCAAGAATTGAACTTGCATCCTCACACTCGTCTTTCTGAGCTATTATTTTGTACCAAACAAAGGCACCTTATAGGAAAAAAATCGTGAATTTTTCAAAGCTTGGAAGTCTACAATGATTGCACAGTACAAATGCAGTTTCTTATGGGATTTTGTTAGTGGTGTCTTTATTTTAACTTAGATTTTGTACTCAATATTATATTGTGTATCAGGTTTCATATTTTCTGTAGTTATTTTATGTTTAAGTTATTCACCTTTTATGGTACAAATATATACATGAAACTTCCACATTGTACATGAACATGATATCTAACTTTTGACAATAGTTGTTCTTTATAATGGTATTCAGTCTGGTTGCTGATTGTGATTCTGTTTTTCTTTTATTTTCTCGCTCTCCCTCTCTCTCTCTTTTGGGGGTGTTGGGATTTGGAATGCTGTTTGAATTGCAGTCATTTATTACTCAAGATTCCAGCGACAGGGACTTATTGGTAAAAAATATAGGGTCCTTTGAAGTTCCAGTTATAAATTATGTGGGAGATGAGTATCATCATAAAGAGCCCTTTCAGGTTTCTGAAGAGGCATGTACCACTTAAACCTCATTATAATATCATATTCAAATTAGTGTGAACAAAATCTACATCAGTACTCAATTCTCTTGTATTGGACAGATGCGTGCACTTGGCATCTATTCCCGGCTTGACCAAGTTTTTGATGCTCCGAATGCTGTCAAAGAGATCTTGTGTGGCCAAGTTGGGCTGGAAAATTCAGTATGCTTGCTAACCTTTGTCTATTTATTAATGTCTTAAGTGGATTTATTCTGATAATTGGTAAGCCGTAGGATCAAGATCTGGAAGTTAGAAGCATACAAGCATGTTTTTCAAAACTTTAGAAGGAACGTCTACGTCTTTCTAAAATCTGTATATTTCTCTTCAGTATATTGGGTCCAAGGAAACCGATCACAAGGCTGATGAGGTCACTAGATTGGGAATAATGGATTTTTGGACTCCAGAAAATCATTACCGATGGTCTAGCTCTAGATATGGTGGTCATGTTTCAGCCATTGTGGAACCTGTGGATCATTCACGTCTCCTTTTATGTAGTATGTTTTCATAAACTTTTGATTCCAATCCACTAATATATCATTGAAAGCCTACATGGTATTTTAAGCTACCACTTATTTTTTCAGGTGTGGATGTTGGAGAAATGGAAAGGCTTAAATCCAGGATAAAGGAGCTGGAAGAAAATATTTCTGCTTTGGAGGAAAGTTTTAAATCACTCCAAAAAGAGCTTAGGCACATAGAAGATGAAGCAGCTATACTTCGTAGGCAGCGTGTAAGCTGAAATGACTCTTGACAAATAGGCTTTTTACTTATTATATGCCTAAATATATGTCTTCTTTATATTTAATTCCGAAATAATTATTGCACCATATACTTTGCAGGAGGAGCTTATCAACAACGCGAAACTTGAGAAGGCAAAAAAGCGTGAAATGGAAAACCGTGTCAGTAAGTATCACGATGCCCGCTTATTTCTTTTTTGCATGGGTTGACAAATCTTCAAATAGATATCCTTTTTATTCAATCTGTTTTTCTTCAATAATTGAATCTCTGGCTGTGATAAATCTAGATCAAAGAAAAAGAAACTTAGAATTTCTAGAGAAGGAGGATGACCTGGATACTATTATGTCAAAGCTTACTGATCAAGCTGCAAAATTGAATGTTCAGCGGTTTCAATATGCAATTAAAATCAAGGTAACAATTCCTTTGCAAAATTTGTGTTCCTCCATGTCCTAATCTTGCTAGCGAATTTTTTTTTTGGCCGTTTTTCATCATGATTTTGGTATAGACGGATGCCTGGCATAATTTCACCCTTTCTCTTGACCAATTCATTTGCATTATACAGTGTTACTTAAATTTCAATTTTTTTTGGACAGGATTTGCTCATTGAGGCTGTTTCTTACAAGCGAAGTTTCTGTGAAAAGCAAATGGCCTCCATTGAACTAGATGCAAAGGTTGTCACAGAGTTGTAGTTGTCAATCCTGGTCCATTACATGTTATTTCAGTTACATGACATGCTTCATTATCTTCACAATGCCCCTATAATAAATAATTAATATAAACTATCAGTGTGTTTCATTGGATGTAGTTTTTACTTGCCCACTTAGACATTGGCATTCCATAAATTCATAACAAACATTCATATACGAGGTTGGATCTACTTCGATACCAGGTAGTATACTTTCTAAGTCTTATCCACAACTTTTGCTCTCTATCCTCCACCCTTTGGTCTTGCATCTACTTCTTCTTGGATTTCTACTTAGCTCTTAGTTCTCATAAATTCTCTCTATTTGATGAATATCCTCAAGATATGTAGTTTGTGATTCCTTGGCTATAATGATTTTACTATAAATATGGCCTTACGTATTATGGTTTCATGACTTTTGATGATTATTGAGTTTATTGAATATTGATATTTTTATCCCCCTAATTCTTTTTCTTCACTATTCTTCTCCCCCCGCTCTATCTTCCTCTTCTCTCTCCTGGTTCTGCTTCAAGTTGGTACCGGAGTAGCACTTTTGGTTCTACAAATCAATTATCTTTTTGTTTGATGCTTTTCACTTTGAGTCTTTTCAGTTTGGATGCCGAGGGTATATTGAATTCTATCTTGAAATTTAGGAGTAAATTGCTTTGCTGGTCATTGTGTTTGGGTATGCTATTTGGATGATAGAATCAAACTCCTCCGTCTTAGTCTGGTTATCTTTCTTTCTATTAGCTGTTCAATGTAGTTAGTGAAACGGTTTTGAATTATAGAGGTTTCTGCTTTATATTATATATTAGATGTTTTATTCATGTTTATGCTCTCAGATAAGGAGTTTCTTCTAGTTATCTTTCTCCTTTGGCCTATTTTAGAAGTGTAAATGGTGGAAACATTGTTTTTGAGTGGGTTTTTACCTCACCTTTCTGAAAAGTGGCTCTAATGTGCTCATTGAGAGGTTGTCCTCGGCCCTCATCATGTTTGAGAGTCGAAGATTTGTCGATTTTAATTGTAATTTTTGTCTTCCCCCCCCCCCCCCCCCCCCCCTTCTGAAGTTGAATTCTTTGCCAGTACCGGACTGTATATTAATATTGCGGATTTCCTACTTCATTAGATTCTGATCGGACACAATGAATAAGTGACTAGGACTGAGTGGTCTATTGCCAGGAGTTTGATCTTTTATTTATTAATTTATTCTTGGGTAAGTGTAACTGGATCATTCTTATCACAAGATCATTCTTATCACAGTGCAATTGTGATTAATGAAAGGAAAATCTTACATTTCCTTTTTCTTTTTCCCTGCTGGTTGGTAGGTTAGATGTTTGAGTGTATTATAACGAAGTAACTATTAATGGCTTTAGTTGTTTAATCTTGAGAAAGTGGCAATAGGTCTTATTTTGGGTAATTCGGATGTATAACCCAAAAATTGACTTTAAGCAACATAAATAAACTACCATAATTATTTTTAAATATTTATACTCAAAACTCGAAAAAGCCATCCCCCACCAAAAAAATAAAAAATAAATTTGTGGTTGGATACATAAATTATGTTTCCTCATGCTGTTTTTTCTTCGGCTATGTTACATGGACTCAAGTACGTGTGTCGGGTGCGGGCATGTATTCATGCATCGGATGCGTCAAATCCTCAAAGTTAAGGACACAAGGACACTTGTAAATATTCATACTATTTAATGTTTTTATTTTATTTTTAGAGAAAAATAACGTCTTTGGGTAATAGTGTTCAATATAGGCATTTCACTTGTTTTGAAGCAATAATATAATAAAATTGAATCACTAAATATCTATTTTAGGTTAACAGATATCCCATACCCATGTCAAATATTTTGTGTCCGACCCAGGTACTTATCATAACTTTGAAGAGTCCATGTAACATAGATCTTGGGTTATTACCTTAGTCAGACCATATGCTATCATTTTTTTTTTCTTACTATCTCAACTCATTAATTTGGGTCTATTCTTTTCCCTAGCATTACCCTCAATGCAGACCACATGACTTTTTTTCACTGATGCAGTTGTTGGTCTTTACTGCATATTCTCTTATTGGTGCTACTTTGACCTTCTCATTATTTGTCTCAACATTTGCACTTCCTTCACACCATTTTATGTTTATACTTTGAAGTACGTTGTTATTTACAAGAGTGGTGCATTTTCTTATTAGCGCAGTACGAATTTTTTTAAAATGTAATTATTTTACTATTTATAAATTACTTTAATACAATAAACTCAAATAGTTAAAATATTTTTCTATAAGTTGAATCATGAAATTATAGGTTAAATTTTACTTAACTGGCATTATTATTATTTTACTTTATCTAAATTTAGCTTATAAATATTGTGCAACAAAATGGTTTAGTTATAAAAAAAAAAAAAAAAAAAAAAAAATTAGCTTATAAATATTATTAATCTTATTATTGTGTTATTAATTTGTTTAATAAAGGATCGTGATTGAATTTCCATTGTCTCATTCTGGGAGGAAAGGGATTTCTGTTACCATCATAGTGCCCGAAGTTTTCAACTAAGGAACAATGCATTCTAGTAATTTTCCCAACAATGATTTGGCTTCCTGCTCCATCTTTTTCTGAATGTATTCAAACATCATGTATTCAAACATCTAATTAGAGTCACCCATCATTTTGATCTTGGACATCCAATGTGGCATTCTTCGTTCCGCCTGATGCCTCCATCACCTCCTTGTTATTTAACATCCTTGATGGATGGAAACTGGAAAGAAGTTAATTTCTCTGGGTGATATAGTTGCTCTAATTTTTGAAATTTTCGGCTTATATTTCCGTATTAAATTCAGTGTTTGTGGTCATCAGATTGAACAAAGATGCAGAGAGATTTCTTGTGGTCTAGCTCTAGTCGGGGCTCACAAAAAGCATTTAGTCAATTGGAACTAGGTGGTCACCCTTTCAGGAGTACATAATTTATCTCAGGAATAAGGCTTCTTGTAGAGACTTTTTAGATATTGTAATTTTCATTGCAATTTTGTGATCAGAAGTGAGCATGGGTTTCAAGGTGCTTGTGTGAAAAGTAAACAATTCTCTGTCACTGATGTAAAACCACTTCTAAGATTTTACTAACATCTGATTCTGTGGATTTTTTTTTTAATTGTTATTTTGCATGTGATGTTTACTGGAGATGGATCTAGCATGGTTTGTGTTATTTGTTTTGGGAAATCAACCTCTCAAATTATCTTTCCCTTGCCTCTTCAGTATTTCAAAACTCCAAGGAGATCCAATTGCTTAGTAGCTTGTACAGTAACGATGGTGTTTGGAATATGCATACTTTTAGAATGCCAAGTGATCATGAATTAATTGTGTTTCCATTCCTTGTTCTTTTGAATGATATCATGTGAACTAAAAAGCTATGGTGCTTTCTCATGTATACCATTTTTATACTTCCTCCTATATAGAAGATATTTTTCATCCATATTCCACGCAGCTAAAATAATCTGGAATGGTAATTTTCTCCAAATATTGAGGCCATTGCTTTCTCTCTCATCTACTCATTGTGTGAGTATTATTTATTTATTTTTTCTATTGTTTGTTCTCTTTTGTTTAAGGCAAAGACTTGTATTTTAGTTCTTTGAATTTTCCATTTAGAATATGCATCACTGATGCTTCTGATTTGCATATAGTTCATACTTCATAGATTCATGAAATCGAATATTATTCATAGTAAATTTTGTTATTTGAAGAAAATTAGAATACTGTTTTATTTATCAACTTGAATTTTATAGCTGACTTTTCCCTAGGAAACTGCTCTCTGAGAGCTTCAATAATTTCCTCTCCAGGTTCAAAAGAATATTAAAATATTATTTTCATTTTCATATAATCCTGACGACCCTCCTTTTTTATTTTCTTTTTCCTTTTTCTGGAGAAAGGCTTTGTTGAATTGATTTGAGTTTTATTATATTTATTTTCCAGCATTAGGTGGTTATACATATTTTTCTCCACGATCTTGTTTTGCATTGCATTGCATAACATATTAGCTATATATATATATATATATATATATATACACACACTGTTGATTCAATCCCTATATTTTATTGTTTGGCGTGGTTTCAGATTAGAGAAATGGAAGCCAATCTCAAGCTGCAAGAGAAATTTGCTATGCAAGCATCTTTGCATCTAGAGTATTGTGAGTTTTTGAAATGTGACATTAGTTTTCTCTGTTCATAAGTTTTATAGAATCATTTTCATCTTGCTCTATATTGATTAGTACATTTTATTTTGATCCTGAACTTAAATCACCAAAGAAGGGCAAAATGGCTTTACACTTGTGGTTTGTCTTGCTCTTAAAAGTCAAGGGTACATGATTAGTGAATGTTAGAATTTCTGTTTGTTGCATAGACATGCAACTTGATGCAACTGAGGGTTATCTTGAGAACCAAACTTTTTCCCTTCAGATTTTAGTTCAGCAATCAATCATTCACTAACAATGGACTGACAATATTAACCAATAGAAGAATGGAGATAGTTTAGATATACAAGGAGAAGTGTCTAGAAATTAAATTTCATTAGTAAGGATTTAAGGGTTGCAGGCATAACATTCCACAATTAAAATCTGGAGAGTGAAATGAAGTATAGAACACCATAAATCAAGGAAATGTTAGTTTATGGTTGAGAAAAGAATTGGGTTACCTTTATCAGACTTTATCCAATCAAAGATTGCTAGAGTTGAGATGTTCTTTGGTTTATGGAAATTTCATATTGATTTGTCTTCCCTTATTACATGTTGTGTCACGCCCCCGATTTTGAGTCCGAAACCTGAGGTGTGATTAGAGGGATTTAGGAATTTGTAAGGTTATTTTACTTTCTAACAAAAAAAAAAAAAAACATATAGCTTCAATGAATTTGTATTTTAAATTCATGAAAAAAAATTCCATTAAAAAGATTCATTAGTTGTAACTTTTGGCAATATGCCTATTAAACATTTGAACTTTTGGAACAAATAGAAACCTGTATAAAATCTTGAAATTCTGTAATCAACATATCCAAAGACATCCTCAAAATCCTAGAATTTAAAAGATATTCCATAAATAACGATAATAAAAGGTTTCGAGTAAATAACATTTACATCTTTACTTCTATTATATATCATTATACAGTTACATGTTGAGTACTTAAAAGTTCTTGCTAATTTCAGCATAATTCCTTTGCCTATTTTGCTCTATCCTTGGCAAACATTTTGTATAGGTATTACCTTCTCAGATTAGAGGTCCAGTGCTCAATTCACAAGCTCAATGCTTTTCCTGCATTCATTTCCAATTGTGTACTTGCATTTTTTCCGTTTATCTGTCTCAACACATGTACATTAACTGTGCACAGTCCATGAGAAGTGCGTCTACTATCCTACAGTTGAAAATTGAATCTTAAAAGGCATGGCTAGTTTTATAGCATCTATGTAATCTGTTATGCACCACTAATCAAAAAACAAAAAATGTAATCTGTTATGCACCAATTGAACAAGAATTTGGAGGAATTTTACTGTTTCATCCGGAGATGCTGTTGACTGTTTCAACTTTCAAACCTACCACAACCTTACCATTGCACCAAGGCCTTGCCCTCTAATTGGTCCTCGATCTACTAAATTATTAATTTCTTTCTGAAGCAGCTTTCTATCCATACTCGTGAAATTATATATATGATTATCATATATCATTCGTGTCTTGACAATATAGTTAATGACGACTTGGTAGCAGCTTTATTCCCTGGCTAAATTGTCCTTTATGATCAATTTCGTTACACAGGACTTCAGATTTTGTTTTTGTCTGTTAGTGATATATTTCTATTTTTTCCTCTTGGTTAGGTAAGAAGGAAGTGGAGGATTGTCGAGAGCAGTTGTCAGCTGCAAAAAGGCGTGCAGAATCTATTGCTTTGATTACTCCAGAACTTGAACAGGCATTTCTCGAGGTCTGTGTTCAAGTACCATTTGATCTTTGCATTCATAATCAAACTTTTGTTCTATGTTTTATATGTGAAAATATGAGAAACTATATATTTTTGTGGAAATGGTTTCCAATAAATTGGTATTAGTAGGAGTAGGAGAACATATATTGAAATGTAACTTAGTTCAGTAGTGTTGGAAAGTTGTAAAAAAAAACTGTACAACTTTTAGATATGCAAGTGTTCTGGAATTACTTCATGGAAAAAAAAATCTCATTACCAAAAGGAACTGCAAAACCTGGGGTACACCAAAGGGGTTTAACAATGTGACAATATAAAATGGTAAAGAAACAACTAGCAGCTCCATACACATGTAGGGATGACGGCTTGTGTTGAACAGAAGCAAAATGAGGCAGGTGGGTCCTAACAGGGCATGTCGACTAAAATGACCTCTATTTGCCACCTCTTGGAACAAAGTTTTCTGTGATGATTTCAATTTCTATTGCCAACGCAGAGCAAGGTTTATACTTTGTAGGTAGGGAATGGCTTTCGTCACAGATCAGGCTTGGGATTGCATATCTTCCTCACCTAAAAATTTGAGAAACTGGTTTAGTTGCAATACCCGAGATATGTTTAATTTTGTAATTTAACTATCAAAGGCACTTATATTGGACACAAAGAGTATATAATCTAGAACTAGGGTATCTAATCTATCCAGCTATTGAGTGAATTCCCCTTTAAAGTAGATTGAGGATTTTGACTTGGTCAAATTGCATGGATGTTCACGTTTGAATTCTGTTTTGTTATTAAAAAAATTCCAATATTTTTAAGTGGCAGAAGTTTAGAACCCTTATCCATTCAGCCAGCATTTCACCTTATTAGAATTGCTCTGTGACCAAGAACCTTTTTTATTCTTTCATCATTTCAAGTTGTGCATAGATGAAAAACACATACTTAAGTGTTTACATGTGTATGGATATATATATTATTTGTACACATTTATGTCAAAGTTCTGGAGACAGTTGTCTACATAATATTTTCAGAATTGCTACACCTCTTTCTTTCTTCCGTTATCTCTCTCGCTATAGTAACCTAGCATATGACACATTTGAACTCAAAATCAGCTTAGATTGAACAGTATCTATTACCTAGGAAGCAAGTCATATATAATAAGAAAAAAGGCTTAATTAGATTGAAATTTTGTCTTGTTTTTTTTTTTCGCACTGACATTTTATAATTGCAAACCTGTCCTGAATATTTAAGCGCAAGTTTGACCCAAATAATTAATTTATTATTTCACTATAAAACTTGATCTGGCGTCATGGTTTCATGAGATCTGCTTAAACCTGGTTTAACCAGGCAAGTTAAAGTGGACAGGGGTGGAGACATGGGAAGTGGCACCACTTCTAGTTTATAAATGGAACTCATCATTTTAATGCCGTTCCAGTTTTGAGTTTCAAGTCAGTTGAGATATTGTTGATAATTTGAAGTTTTTGGGGCTTCTTATTAACCTCTGGAGTAATTAGATCATTGAGATTGGGAAGGTTTTCCATTTGTTTTATTTAAGCTCAAGCTTGACCCGAAAAATTAATTGATTATTTCACTATAAAACTTGAACTGGCCTCATGTTTTTATGAGATCTGCTTGAACCTGGTTTAAGCAGGCAAGTTAAAGTGGACAGGGGTGGAGACATGGATAGTGGCACCACTTATAGTTTATAAATAGAACTTGTCGTTTTAATGCCGTGCCAGTTTTGAGTTTCAAGTCACTTGAAATATTGTTCATACAACGAAGTTTTTGGGCTTCTTATTAACCTTGTGAGGAATTAGATCATTGAGATTGGAAGGTTTTTCCATTTGTTTTCTTATCTGCTTTTGACCTGGGTTGTGGATTACGGATGGCCCTTTGTATAATTGGGTGTGCCTCATGAGGCATTATGTCGGCAAATCACAGATCAATCATTGGACAGTTTTAGAGGTTGAAAATCATACCGTTTGATCCGTCTTTGAAACATACCGATCTCTGGTGACTTTTGCTCCAGTCTAACTGATGTAGTAATTGTCATCTAGGCCGGATCTAACTGCGAACATGATAATAGAGCTGGCTATCTACAATTCTTCTTGTGTACAACCTGTATCAAACTTCATTTCCTGCAAAATAAGGGTCTCATTTTCCATTGGTTTTTTGTTTTATTTTATCACAACTGGTATGAATTTTATGACAAAGCAGCAAATACCTTATTTTGTTTGTCCTTTAACTTCTAATACCTGTCTCTCTTTAAATTCGCACATTAAGAATATTTGGGGTTCCATTTAACCAGTTTTATATTACATGGACTTGGGTATTAGCATCTTAGAGGAATATTTGGATGTTCCATTTAACCAGTTCTATGTTACATCGACTCAGGCAGGGAAAAAGTTGTATATGAGTTCTTAGATACTTACTATGCCTTTAAACACCTCATCATGAAGGATTGGGATGTCCGATTTAGGTTCATGTTCTTAACACATATCTCATATCCCTTATCCATGCCATCACGGATCGAGAGTCCATGTACCATGAAACCTGTTAAAAATTAACAAGCTTTATTCCAACTTTTAAATTTGATTAAAAATACAGTTTGAATGCTATTTATATTGTTAAATTCAACCGAAGACTTTTTCTCCTTGCTTGAAACAAAATTGTAGCAGAATGGTTGTGGTAAATAAGGTCACATCTGATCAAGCCCCTGGCTTTGGTGGTATCACCTTCACCTCTCCAAAGGAGAGGTTGAGGGTTGAAGCCCCACTTGGTGCAAAAACTGTCTGTGAGTTTCTTACCTACCAAAAAGAAAACGAAAGATAGAAAAAAAGAAAAAAGGAATCAGCTCATATCTGGAAGTGATTGCTTTCAAATAAATATTCTTCTATGGCAGCATTCAGAAGTGACCATCTTTTGCCCTTTTGTGGCATTGACACAGTTGATTCTCGGACTGCTTAAATATTTCAGTTGGTGCTTTTCTTGCGAGGTCCGGGAAGCCTTGACTGATTAGATGGTCAATGTATTGAACAGATTGGATCTGATTTTTGTGGATTTCTGTCTTTCCGTATTCATATGGTATGGAATAAAAGAAATGTTCAAATCTTTAATTGGATCAAAGTGCCTTCTGAAATGAAGAAAGAAACAGATTCAAAGTATTCTCTTTCACTTTTTGTCCCCACAAAATGGATTTATCAAATGGGATGGATCTGTTATTAAGAACTGGACTTTAGTTAAGTGCAGCTGCCTCACATTCTGCTTGTTCGGTACTTGTGATTTTGGTTAGCCTTGTTTTTAGTCGTTCACCTGAAATACGAATTTTAAATAGAGCTTGCTATTTTTCTTTTCCCGCAAATATAAACAAAATGCAGAGATGTTATCTAAAATTAGTATATATATATATATGATTTTTGTTTCCCAGTTATTTGAGCAACATGATTTCAATTTAATAAAAAATACTAAGATCCAACAGCCAGCTTTAATTTTTTAATTGAGTTAAACATTATATAGTATCCATTGACATTAGCTAGTGTCCTGTTGAATTTAGTGACTTGTCAAGGAAAATATCATGCATGGGAATGTGTTATCACAGTTTGGGGTTCCAAAGAAATTCCTCATCACACCCATACAGACTTGTTTGATCTATGAGATTTTAGAATGTTTAGCAATGATGCAAAAAATAGTTGCAAGTCCACAATGTCTTAAAAAATATATATTAATAAAAAAAGGAGTCAATGTGACAAGCAACCATACATAAACATGTTGATTCATGCATGTTTTAGGTCTGGAATTAGGATTCATTCATGCTTTTCTTTATACATGAAATGTGATATTTTGTACCATGTCCACGCCCACAAAAATATCATCTAATATAAAATGCACATACTTATAAAATTGGATCGATGATAGTTATTTGGGTTATTAAATCCTCTTAAATTGTAGCATTTTATCGTAAACTCTTCTTTAAATTTTGAGTCCTGCTATTTACCCTGACAAATAAAAACCTACTACTTTACCGAGTCTATGTAGTTGCCCATGTGGTAAATTTAATGGGACCCATTTTAAAATATAAAGTATTAAATATATGGAAAATTGCCTGTTCCTTTTCTACGAATAAGTCAAAATTCCGATCAACAACTGACGAATAAGAGTTAAAATTTCTATCAACATTCTAGGTTTCATCTCAATCTTGTATCTTTATTAGCAATTAAAGTTTCGATCATAATGTATATAAAACTAAATATATCAAATTGTGCATCGCTCTTATATATACAAAATACTCTTCAGTTTTTGGATTGATGTTAGACTGAACTTCCACACACAGATTCTTCTATTTTGACATATTTTAATAGTAACATAAGTGCATATAAACAATGCTCTTTAAGAAAGTATGTTGTTTTATATAATTTTAGAAAGTACAAATGACCCCGCAATAATTTATTTTTGTTAACTTAATAATTTTTATGATTAATAATTATGAAGGAACCAGCTTGGTTCCATGGTGGATAAGTAATAATAATATTGCTTAATGTTTAACAACTTTAAAAGAATTGTATTATATTGTTAATTGTCTGGATAAAAAAATATATAGAATATTAGGAAGAAAATTTTGTATGTTCACGTGTCATTTTTTTGGCCAATAAAATTCTAAACTTATATCTTTAGGCTAGATCCCTATTTCTCAAACATTTAAGTTAATAATAATTTTTTTGAAGAAGACTGTATATGTATTTATATTTAGGCCATAGAAGGCATGAGATATATCTTGTTTATGAAAAATGTTGTAAGTATTATGAAAAATATATCTATCTTTATTTGAAAATGGTCAAAAGGAATCTTGAGTAGGGAGAAAGTTTAATACTCTATTGTATTAATTAATAAATGTACTTTCTCATTATCATTAGTTATTAGAGTGTTCAGTTGACTGCAGTTCTGTTAGAATTTCTTACATTGTCCCTAGGCAAAAAAAGAAAAAATGTTCATATATTTATATTGCTTCAATGTGCATTATGTTTTCCCTTCTTACAAGTTAATCAGGTTGTGAACTTTGTTCGTGAATTTTGTTTTTACGCTATCAATTAACATTCTTGTCTTGCACGATATCCTCCCTACCTTAAACTTGTCCTTGTTAGTGATTTATTTTATTCTCCACTATTGACCCATGAATCTTTCTAAAACCTATAATGTGAATCTGTAGATGCCTACAACCATCGAAGATCTGGAAGCTGCCATCCAGGATAATATGTCTCAGGCCAATTCTATTCTTTTTCTAAATCACAACATTCTGGAAGAGTATGAAAGTCGCCAGCAGAAAGTAAATCCTGCCATATTTTATTTTTATCTTCTATTTATTCCCATAATATTTTATTTAATTTAACTTTTACAGATAGAAGCCATTTCTATGAAACTGGAAGCAGATGAGGTGTCACTGACACAGCATTTAGCTGAAATAGGCACTCTAAAGGTATAGGAAGTTCTTTGGCTTCCTTGCATTACTAGTTTGAAGCGTTAATAGTTGCTACTTTCATATTGTCTCTCTCAAAGACAGCATTATATTTGTATTGAATCAGTTACTCTTATCCAAGAAATGGGTTCTGATTTAGATTACTGCAGGAAAGTTGGCTACAAACATTGAGAAATCTTGTCTCTGAAATAAATGAGACATTCAGTCGTAATTTTCGGGAGATGGCTGTTGCTGGAGAAGTTTCTTTAGGTATTCTTATGGTACCTTAACCAAAATATACTTGAGAAGTTCTATCACTTTCTTTGTTGATATGTTGATTTGTCTCAGATGAACATGACATGGACTTCGATAATTATGGGATACTTATCAAAGTGAAGTTCAGGTATTCGCAATTTGAATTCTGTTTTTCTTTTAATTAATTTGCTTTGACATGCGAGCTTGTTTTAGTTGGAGGAAGGGAGGGAGGGAGGGAGGGAAAACAAATTTCAAGTCCAATTGACTCATTTCTTATTTTGCTTGCTTTGAGTGAATCATCATCATCATCCATGCCTTATTCGCCTATGGATGGGGTTGGCTACATGAATTCTCTTTCTCCATTGTCTTCTATTACACGCCATTTCACTTAATATGCTTTGAGTGAATACTAGTAATAAATTGGTCTACCCAAGGAATGTACAAGGTTTGTCCTGATTCTCCTGAAGACTAGATGAAATTAATATAGTTCCAGAAAAAAATATAAAACTAAAGCCATTTAAAGAAAGTGGATATGTATGGGGATCAATAGGTCACCTGCCTAGGAAGCATGAACTTTCCTAACTTCTATGGGGGAACCACGTATTTCTTGGTGCTTGGACTCTCCTAGACACTTATCAGACACATTTTATAGGTGTCCATAATTTAGAAAAGGAAAAATAATATAGTTTCAAACACATGGCAGATAGTTCTGAAACACTCGACAGCATGTGTTCAGGATATTTGAACATTGGATCTGACCTTCTATTAGCATGGGAATGATATACTTAATAATTGTGCGTAGTAATGTAAAGTCTACTTAAGAGTAATATTTTATAAAAACTTCTGCCATGTTGATAAGAACAAAAGATAAACGTATGTTTTATTAAATGAGTAGGCTTGGTAATAAGAGAGGAATTACTAAATTGTACATGTACACATATACACATCTACATATATTGTACAAGAGCAAGCATATACAAATCTATCATATGTCCTTGTCATGAATTCTTGTTTCTTTGTGACAAGGGTAGCCATGATTATGCAATCTATAAGTTACAATTTTCTTGTAAAACTTAGAAACCATATTTTACAATAAATATGACTTCATGATAATTAAATTTCTTGTAGTCATAGAATGTAAAATCTAGTTATCATGATGTTATGTTTATTGTATAAAATTTTATTATATATATATATATATATTTTGATAAGTAAAATTTTATAAAAGTGCTCAAAAGGGGAGCGAATCCCAAGAGAAAAACAAAAAGGCCACAAAGGACCTCTAAGCCTTCAAAGAGGCCAAAAAATCTACAATTTCCTCAATAGAAGTATGATCTCTCCCTGAAATCCAACAAAAAAGAGTGGAAAGAATAGAAAATTTGAGAGTAGAAATCGACATCTCCTTCCCATCAAAAGATCTCGTATTCCTCTCGAGCCAAATACATCAGCACACATAATGAGACGTAGCCCTCCAAGCATCCTGAATGTGAGCCCCCATAGGGCAACCTCTCCAAGCCTCAATCACCCCTCTAACAGATCCAGGCATAACCCAAAGGAGCCCAAACAAGCCAAACGTCAAATCCCAGCAATCTCTGGCCATGGTGCAATGGAGGAGAAGGTGATCCATAGTTTCCTCATCCCGAAGGCACATATAGCAACGATTGACAACCACATGATTCTTCCTCCTCAAGTTATCCTGGATCAAGATCCGTCCCAGAACAGAGGTCCAAGCAAAAGAAGCCCACCTTGAGAGGAGCCTTAGAGCACCAAACCACCTGCCAAGGAAAGCAAACCCCAGGATCATCTGTGAGACATCTAGAAAAGGATCTAACCTCGAAACGTCCCTGAGAGTTGGCTGCCCAAACCCAACTATCTGAATCCCCAACCACAATCCTCTAACGATACAACAACTCCAAAAAGCGGATAGCCTCCTCAATCTCCCAATCCTGAAACAATCGCCTGAATCGAACATCCCAAACCAATCTCCCATTATTTGATTGTTCTATCCTACTCTTTTTAAGCTTTATTGTGTCGGCGTGTACATGTTGTGTCACGTCTGGGTCTTATATCATGTCCGTGTTTCTTAGACACCTCCTTGCAGTTTCCACGGAACATTTTTTCCTATTGGCGGCAGAATATATCGTAAATAGATACAAATAAAAGACTTATTAGCTAATAAAACTTCAAGTTTCTTCATTGATCTGTTTGCTTCTTTGGAAATTCATTTTCCATGAATAAAGATTTCCTTGCACTAGTTTAAGATATACTCTAATCCCATATTAGTTGAGAAATGTGTTTTTCTTCACTGATGTGAAATTGGTTTTTGGTATGCCTGCAATATTTGAGATATTTCCTTAGTTTTTTAATTAGAAAAATATTTTTAATATAGTCGGACCTGGGAGTGGGCCCAAGGAGTAGGGCTGAGTGAGCGAACCTCACGATCCCGTCTGGTGGCTGAGACACCACCCCATGGTGGCACACTCTACCTCACGCACCACTGCCATGAGTGGGTGTGTGCATCCAGACCCAAAATGGTTATTCTTCCCCCATAACGACCTGAACCCTAGGCAGCCATTCTTGAACTTTTCCAAGCACTTTTATCAAATCTAAGCCAATTAAACCTAGGGTTTTTGTAATTCTTGATGAACTGAAACCCTTGTGCGTGCGAATCTTGTCGATTAGTTCACTGTTGTATAGGCTTTACAGTTATGGTCTGAATATGTTTATACACACACGCACATACTTATCACCATGTGGGTGTATCTTACTGGCAATCTACACACGATTAATTCGGTTACACAAATTTTAACCCCCATTGCAACTTCCAGGTTGCATCTTATACATATATATCCCATCTGCCACAATCATATAAATACACTCATCTGCCACAGTTATATATATATATATATATATATATATATATTCATATTCACATCATTAGCAATCCTTCACATGCTGTTACCAGAATATACTCCGTATTCTATAGCATTAAATCCTTTTCACAGATTCATCACAAACCCATAGGCTATTTATAGTTATATCGTATATAGGCTTGTTTGGTTATACATTCACTCTATTCCAACTTGAATTAATTTAAATTCAATTACTATTTTACTTTTAATAAGTTATAAATTTAAATTGAACCTCCTTTTTTTCTTTTTATGGGTATTACAATTTATGTGCCTTTTCCCACTGGGCTAGATGTGCAGGGTGTGAGTTCAGTGATCTGTTATATCAATGGTCAGAAAAGCTTGGCTTTGCTAAAATTCATTGGTACTTCTGCTATTTGTTACTTTGTATGATATTATACCAGTTTGGATGACAGTTTGGTATGGTTTCATGTCATGATCACAGGCAAGCAGGACAGCTACAAGTTCTTAGTGCCCACCATCAATCTGGAGGGGTATCATAGTAAACTCAACATTTTGTGTTCATGATATTTTGGTTTATGACTTATTTCTTATTTTACCTTAAAATTACCATTTTATAGGAGCGCTCAGTTTCAACAATTCTGTATCTTGTTTCTCTTCAAGACCTTACAAACTGCCCATTTAGGGTAGTTGATGAGATAAATCAAGGTTTGTTTCCACTACAGTTGCATAAAATAACTTGATGTTTGTGTGTATGTATTTTTATGTGTTTAGACACGGTGTGGTGACCTTGTGGGCGGGTGTGTGTGGCTGTGTGCGAGGCACTAGCAAGCTACAAGTGCACAATTCCACATTGCCTGGGTAAGGTGAAGATGAAGTGTCTATATGTGCCAGTGCCATCTCCAAATAGTATGAGGCCTTTTGGTGTAGAACCCAAAAACAAAACCATCGCCTAGCTATGGGTGCACAATTCCACATCGCCTGGCTAGGGTGCGAAGCACTGGCAGGCTATGGGTGCACAATCCCACATCGCCTGGCTAGGGTGAAGATCAAGTGCTTATATGTGCTAGTCCCATCTCCAAATTGTATGAGGCCATATTGGGTAAACCCAAGAACAAAACTGGGTGGGCTCGGGCCCAAAGTGGACAATATGATATCATGTGGTGGATTGGGTAGTTACACAGTGCATAGAAGATTAATGTTTGTTTGTCTTTGTTTTTTTGTTCTGATGAATTTGTAAGATAATTGTTGCTTCTGATGTTTTCTTAGGAATGGATCCAATTAATGAAAGGAAGATGTTTCAGCAATTGGTGAGAGCTGCTAGCCAGCTAAACACTCCACAGTAAGGACATTTTTATTACCTGATAATGTGTGTTCATTTAGTTCGTTGAGCTTTCAAACATCCATTATGTTGCTTACTCAGCACGTCTGACTGGTAGTAGTTGGTTCAACCATAATAAATCCTTCTCATCGGCATTATCTTTATCACATATAGAAAGAACAATGATAATAACAATAATGCTGTGTACTTATTTTGTCAAAGTGAACAAATAAAATTTAATTTTTGACAATAAAATATCCTCTCTATTTATGGGGTTGTGTGTTTGTGGTGGTGGTGTTGTGCTGCTTTAATGACTATGTTGATGCCTTGGCCATGCTGTTCAAGTTTATCACCTTGCCGCACTTGTACGAATCATATTAACCTATAAATGTAAACAAACATGAAGGGGCATCAAATAATCATATTCTACCAGTTTGGTGAATGGCAAGGTTTCCTTTTCTATAAACAAAAGGAAACAAGCATAAAAGATTGTGTATGGGGTGCAAAGTATTAGTGCTAAGCCATTCCATCATCCCTCTGTATAATTATTATCTACAGTAATTTTTTGCTTTTAACAAAAGGAAGTTTTGTGCAGATGTTTCTTACTTACACCGAAGTTGCTTCCAGACCTGGAGTACAGTGAAGCATGCAGCATTCTAAACGTAATGACTGGCCCTTGGATTGAGCAGACTGCAAAAGGTCAGATGTTTTTAAAATCAAAAGTATCTCTGTATATGCAGATGTATGTGTCTCTAATTATTTTAACATCTCTTATTGAATAATTTTATCGCATGCCATTTCAGTGTGGAGAAGTGGAGAGCGCTGGGGATATGTTATGGGATTATCTGAAGAAGGCTGTTGATGAAAATCTTGATCAATCAGTAGCAAAAATGGCACTCGCACTTGGCAAATCATTGGTCACGATTCACATGTCCTTGTTCGCTCCGTGTTTAGCATATCTTTTGTAATGGTATTATAATCCATACGACGAGCAAATCCGTTCCTGAAGTATATTCTGTATAGAGACATAGATCTTATTTTTCATCTCCAAGGCATTATTATGAGGGGAAGGCATTTTGTTCACTAATGTTACCAATTTAGCTCACTCTGCATTTGTTCAGTAGTGGCCTTCTTGTGCTCTGCAAGATTGTGTTTGTAGATGAAATAGTTCTTGAACCACCTCAGCCCCCATTCTTCTGTAAATTTCTCATCTTTGTTGACCTTCACTTGGATCTTGAAACTAATTTCCATATTGCTCTTGGTCATAAGTATTACTATTCATTTGTTTATGCATTATGGTGCATGTGAGTTGCCATATGGGCTAAAGCAGTGAGAGTATCAAGAGTGAGTGACTTGGTGTGTGGTGGGCCACTTCTTAATATCATGGACTAAGTCATACAATCCTTTTCAACATGTGTCGTTTTTACGATCCGAGCGTGCTCTTGCTCCCATGTTTCTTGTTTAAATTCTCATTACTTATGATTTAATTCTGTCACGCTTCCGTTTTATGTGATTTAGATTAGGGATTGTTTTTAGAAATTGGGCTTGCTTTATTCTGAAGTACATGTACTCGCACTTCAAGAGGAAACGAAATGTTCTCAAGTCTGATTTGTTTGGATGGCATTGTGTTGGAGATTTTTGCAAATTATTTCATTCAAGAATTAGCATGATAACAAATTATTTAAAAGCACTTGAGAAGAAAAGTGGAAAAAATATGATCACAGAAAATAATTGTTGGAGGGTTGGGAATATTAGGATTTTAAGTGATTTTTGTAGCTTTATTTACTGTATAAAAATGTAATGAAAGCAAAATATTGACCCTCAGCTCCATGTAGCAGATCAACCTTAATTTTCTAAATCATTATTTTCTAATCATTTAGCTCGTACAAGCGATCAAATAACTCGTTTGAAATTTATCATCCCTCTATTTTTCCTTATTTTATTTCTCATCCCACTTTTACTTATTTATTTATTAATTATTTTTTATCATCCCTCTTAAGAGAGGAATTGTTATTATTTATTAAAGTAATTTCCAGGACAAAAGTTCATGATTCATGGCATGAGTTTTAGTGGACTAATTAGACTCCATGATTCATGGCATGAATTTTAGTGGACTAATCAGACTTAATCTCACCATATAGCTAACTGGATTAGGGTTTTATTTTTATTTTATTTTATATCAATTTTGATAAATGTTCATCCACTTGATCTATATATCTAATTTTATTAAATAATTAATGATTATGTATATATATAGATGATTTTATAATTTATCATTGGACTAATGCAATTTCTCCATCCCATGTGCACTTAACAATTATATATATATATATATATATATATATATATATATATATATATATATAACACTCTTTTAACCTGTATTATGTGGTCAACAAGTATTTGGGATATGGATCAATTTATATGAATCATGTTATTTTTCTTTATTTTGATATTATATTTAGTGGTATATACCTAAAACACCATTAATGTTTACTTTTTGAACAAATAACATTCATTTCTGGCTCCCTTTTACATTGGCTATATAATTTCCTTAAAAATTTAAAAATGTTGTAAAAAATGACTTTTTGACAGTTAAAAATGCACCTTAAAAACAATGTCACAAAAATAAAAGATATAATACCAAAATTACTGTTTATTGATTCCGAAAATGCCATTCCCTTTTGTATATAAATCTCAAAAATGAAGGATATAATAGTAATTTTACATTAACTGAATTTTTTTTATTTTTTTTAATTGTAAGAAAGCCATTTTAATATTTTTATCACCCTTAACAGTAGCCCCTACAATAAATATTAGAAATTTTAAAAATTTATAAGGGATTATATAAACTATATGGTGTCAAATACTCCAGCCTTCTATTTATTTCACTTTCAGGGCTAGAAATTGAGCCCACCAGAAATAACTTCATTTGTAACCCATATTGCCCCCATTTCTAAACTTTTGCCTGTACACAGTAACAATCGTCTACAATTCGGAAATTACAGTATATGTGAATGACTCTTATCATCATCTTTTATATGGATAGACTGATACGTAGAGAGAGAAAGTGGACTCATTAACCAGAGAGAGAGACACAACAATGGCGTCCTCCGCTACAGCCTCTTCTACGCTAGTGTTATCCAACGCTGCTTCCTCTGTTCTCCTTCAAGACTTCAACAACCTCTCTCTCTCCTTCAAACCCAAGCCACTCTTCTACACCTCTCCCAAGACTTTTTCTCTCTGCCCACTAGTGTTGCAGTGTAGAGAGAGAAAATCGTGCAATTGGGTCGATGTTTCTTCACCCAAGTATGGATCTTACCCGGTTGTTGTGGCTGCTTTGGCTGCTGAAGCAGAGTTAGCGGAAGCTGTGGAAGAGGAAGAGGGGGATTTGGTAGGTGGAGTTGCTTCAACACCTCCAACAAAGCCCAAGAAAGGCAAAGCTGCATTGCCACTGAAGAGAGACAGGGTATGGAACATCTCGTTTCTTGTTCGTGGTCTTACTTTTTCCCATCAATTTACTTTATTAGACATGAATTGTTGATACATATTGTGATTTAATTAGTGAGTTTTGCTTTTCACTTTTCTAGTTATTACTATCATTTCAGAATTTTGATAAGTATCTCTAAACTATGGTCGTTGAGTAGAGTCTGCAAATGGGTTTTGCTTTATTTTCTTCTAATTGTAAAACTGAGAAATGTAATTTTGGATTCTTATTCTTGGTCTTACTTTATTAGCATGAATTGTTGATATATATATATATATTGTTAATAAATTGTTGTTCTTCCTTTACAAGATATAAATTGCTGATACATATTGTGATTTAATTAGTAAATTTTGCTTTCCACTTTCTTAATTATTACTATCATTTCGGAATTTTGATAAGTAGCTATAATCTATTGCCATTGAGTTAGAAGAGACTCCAAATGAGCTTCACCTAATTTTCTTCGTAATTGTAAAACTGAGAAATTTAATTCAAGTAAGCCCTTCTTCTTTGCCTTTAAAGTGAAACAGAATATATGCCCATTCTAATCTAACTTCTATTATGCTTGTTTTATTTGCATAATCGTGGATGTGTTGTTTTAGTTAAGTATCTCTAAACTATGGCCGTTGAGTAGAGTCTGCAAATGGGTTTTACTTGATTTTCTTCTCATTGTAAAACTGAGAGAAATGTAATTTAGGATTCTTATTGTCGGTCTTACTTTATTCACATGAATTGTTGATATATATTTTTTATTTTGTTAATAAATTGTTGTTTTTCCTTTACAAGATATAAATTGCTGATACATATTGTGATTTAATTAGTAATTTTGCTTTCCACTTTCTTAGTTATTACTATCATTTCGGAATTTCGATAAGTAGCTATAATATATTGCCATTGAGTTAGTAGAGACTCCAAATGAGCTTTGCCTGATTTTCTTCGTAATTGTAAAACTGAGAAATTTAATTCAAGTAAGCCCTTCTTCTTTGCCTTTAAAGTGAAACAGAATATATGCCCATTCTAATCTAACTTCTATTATGCTTGTTTTATTTTCATAATCGTGGATGTGTTGTTAATAGTTATTCGGATTATTTTTCCCCTAGCATCATTAGATTTTTATTTTCTTCTACTTCTTTTTAAATTTTTAAATTTTTTTATTTATTATTTTAATGATCTGGGAGGGGTGGTGATGTTTGGTATATTTGGGTTTTAAACCGTCTGCCCTTAATTTCTCTTTTTTCCTTTTTATTTATTAATCAATAACTTCCTAGACTTTTTCATTTTATATTATGTTATTATCAATTTGGGGGTGAGCGTTCTTCAAAGTTCAGAACAAACTTTAAAAGTTCATATGTAAGAATGTACACACTCACCATTATTGCCTCGTGGGACTTGAACCTTAACCTCCCATGTGGGAGGAGGAAATACCACTACGCTTGAGCTTTGGCGGTACTCTTTCACTAATTTCACAAAGACCTTTGTTATAATATGGCCTCTCTCTGGTCCTGTTACATTCTTTTGTTCATTTAGGTTGCTAGATTAATTGTTTTAGTTTCCTTACATTTTCCTTTCCTGAAAAAGTTTGTATGTTCATTTTTTGTCTATTTCCCCCATTTCTTATTGTATTTCTCAGAGGAGGTCTAAGAGATTCTTGGAAATTCAAAAATTGAGAGAGAACAAGAAGGAATATGACATAAAAACAGCAATATCGTTGCTAAAGCAAATGGCAAGTACGAAGTTTGTGGAAACAGCCGAAGCTCATTTCCGCCTCAACATTGATCCCAAATATAATGATCAACAGCTGAGAGCAACAGTGAGTTTTCTGGCATTGATTGTAGAAAAAATACATTCAAATTGTTAAACAGGTGGTTCATTTAATTTCTTCCATCTGTTTATTATTATTATTATTATTATAACAGGTGAATTTGCCCAAAGGAACTGGACAAACTGTTAAAGTGGCAGTTCTTACTCAAGGTAACTACGCTTCTTAATTGTCAAGCTTCTACTCAGTTTTCTTTTGATGGATGGTAAGCTATTTTTCTTGTTGTTCAGTCCATAGTAACATATTTCTATCAGTAGCAAAAAAGGGTGATGCTTGTGCATGAGTGAAAGAATTAGGAGGGACTGGATAGACCATTGATGGATGTTCAAAATTGTGAAAATCATGTTAGTAGAGAATAGATGTGCAAAAGATTCTCCATTCAATGGATGCATATAAGAGCGTGAAAGTTTGTGGCCAAAGTAAGAGATGAATGTTAAGTTGCTTGGACAGAATCTGCAAACCTGGACCGAGATATTTAGTTTTGATCCTCGTTACTTTTTGTCAAATGGTAGAGATGGGCAGATTTGATAGTGGAAGTAGTTATTTCCACAAATGTAGATTCTCGAAATTTAGTGCACTTATTGTCTAATTGGATTTTGGGGTTGGTTTCATAACCGACTTATTTTTCCTCCCTTAATTTCATTGTCTTTTAGATTAAAATTCTCGGTTTGGCTATTAGAAACTTGTTCACGAAGGTTGTGATGGTATGCTTAAAAAACTTATATTTCTTATTTGGAAAAAGGATAATATGTATTACTCCTAATATCTGCATGTTTCACGGATGTTAAATGGCTACTCCAAAGATGCTCAGGGCTCTTAAATAAATGATACACTGGCAAAAAAAATTCAAAAAAGAACACCTTGCAGTGCTTTCAGTATGGTTCTGGTTGGATTATAGGGCTTGACTTAAAAATATTTAGGATTTGGATTTTGATTTACAACACAAAAATTTGGCAACAGTTGCTTCCTCTTCTATTTGTAAATTAAGGTACTTAGCATGGACTAAAACTAAACACCAGATTCTTATATCAAAAGAAGGAATTGATTTTTTTATTACAATAATGCTCCTAAGAAAGTATAGGATAAATTACACTGACACCCCTGAGGTAACTGAGAACCCGTCAGAGTTATCATAGCATTGGGCGTTACTTTTTTTGTGTGAAATTACACCATTTTCTTTCAATACAATAACTCTTATTTTTGATAAAATATGTCAATACGAAATGACAAATTTGACCCCAGTTGATTTAACCCAAAAGATCATTCTCTACCACTCACACTCTCAACCACAGCGTTACCCCAACCCCCCCCCCCCCCCTCCCTCCCTCCCTCCCTCTCTCTCACGTGCGCGCACGCACACACAAGCCAACCCCCCGCTGGAAATGGGGGAACGTGCACAAGCCAGTGAGGGTTCGGCCAACGAGGATGCTAGGTCCCACGAGAGGGTGATTGTGATGTCCCACATCGCCTGGGGGGAGAGGTTTGATGACACTTATATGTTTGGACGCCCCTTAACTGGTAGACGTGTTTTGAGGAAAATCTGTGAGCACCGAGAGGAGAATGTGCAAAGTGGACAATATCTACTCGGGTTGGAGCGGGCGTAACACACACTTTAGCCGCTGCCACCACCCCCACCCTTCTCCCTCTCTCTTTACCCGCCACCCCTTCTCCCTCTATCCACCTCCACCAACAAGCCACTCCCTCTATCCACCACCACCAACTAGCCAGTGGAAGCGCTTTTGACATTGGACACTGGTGACATCGGACAAAGCCACATTGGACACCCACAATATATGCTCCATTTAGGATCTTGGATCAGATCAAAAGGACCATGGAAGCACTGGTGACATACTGCAAAATTATTACTGTCTTTTAGTAAACAGAAGGTGACCAGCAATGGAAGCAGTAACTCAATATGCTTATTATGAAAAGAAAAAAAAAAAAGGAAGTCAATTATTTGATCATCCTAAAAGTACTTGTAGGACTTAAAATTAAGATTTTTTACCACAGGTTGTATGAATCTGTAAAGGGCTACTTCCTGGCATCAATGCACATATAAATGAGTCAGCATTGCTCTTCAATTTTCCCAACTTTGTCTTCCCACCAAAGAGTTCCTGAAAAAAATCTCTTTAATTAATTCATTTTTTCGTTTCTAGTTGAATGTGAATTACTAATCAGTAGTCTGATACCTTTGCCAGCAGTGCCTGAGCTCCAACAAATTTGTTATCCCAACTAAACCCGGACACTGACTTCACCTTGAGCTGGTTAGATGAACAAAGCAATAAGAGCTTGTTTGGGCAGAAATATACTTTTTTTTTCCTTCTTTTTTTTTGTTTTTGTTTTTGTTTTTGTTTTGATAAGGTAAGTACTCACACATACTTTGCCCACGCCACCCTTCCCCTCCTCTTTGTGGATGGGGGAGGTTTTACCATTGGGCTAATGGTCCTTTGGTATTTGGACAGAAATAGACTTAAGAGTTTGTTTGCAAATTCAAACAAAAGAACCATCTCACAGAGAGAGAGAGAGAAATGGGTTAGTCTATGTAATATCTTTCTGAATTTTTTCTTTAAATAAAATTGTATAGTATATATGTAACTTAGATGTGGTTAATTACCAAAAAATTAAAAAAATAAATAAATAGAAACTAACATATGGTTAGTATTATTGTACCTCTATAAAATTCTTTCTTTACAAAACTTAAATAATCAATGTGTTTTATATATTTAATTTATGTATTAATCACACATTGTAAAAAATAATGTTATATATTAATTACACATTATATAAAATTTATATAGCCTTCCTAGTTAAAAAGATACAAAGGAGAGTTTTGTCAATTTTAAAAATTAATAACAGGGCAGCGTTGTCAATTCAACTCGTGCATAGAGTTAGCAGCGTGTCTTTTCCCTGAGTCAAGGAGTAGAAGGGTCATTTCATGCCATCTCAGTGTACTTCCAAACGGCTAGATGACTGCAGGGGTGGTAGAAATCATGCCTAAACCTAAGGGGGTCTCAGCACAGGCTTTGCAAAATCTGCACCCACCTTGATCTAATTAGTTCTTACCTAAAGGGATTTTAGTGTATTTTACCCAAAACTTAAAATGTAACCTTGCATGCCCCAATTCTCAGTTCTCCACGTGTCTGTGTTCCTGCACATAACAAACACACACACAGCTTCTCTCTGGGACTTTCTGTGATACAAGGATACAGAGTCTTCAGGGTATTTGTTTGTTATTATTCCATAAATTTGAAATAATGTTGGTCGCATTGTTTATGGCTTTGTTTATTATTATTTCCCGGGGCTCAATGTTGTGCAGCTGGATATCTGCAGGTGAGAGGTTTGATGAAGCAAAAAGTGCAGGAGCGGATTTGGTTGGTGGAGAGGAGCTGATAGAACAGATAAAAGGAGGATTCATGGATTTTGACAAATTAATTGCTACTCCAGATATGATGCCCAAGGTGTTGCCATGCTTATCTTCTTGTAATTAATTATATAGACTGCTTCTGCTTATGTTCACCAATTTGGGGTGCTCAATGCAACTACTACTATTTTGTTTATATAAGGGTTCATGTTTAAAAAAAATTCCATGGTTTGTGAGGGATGGTAGCTTTTTTTTTTTTTTTTGAATGAAAACTACTTCTTATCAGCCTAGTGATAATATTTCGTGCAATAATACGTAGATAGATGATGAGAAACACCTTTTCATCATTTTAGATGTCTTTATTACAGTTTTTTTTTTTGAACTTCTAGATATTTGTTGTTGGGTATGAGTAAGTGATGGTCTATAATTCTTACCAAGCTGCTATATATGTCTATTTATAGATGTTGTTCTACCTAATAATGTTTTGCAGTTCCTTGATAAATATTGTCTTTCTCATTTGCCAATATCCTCATAAATCTTTCCATCATTGAATCCCTGGATCAAGCTTGCTTCAAAGATGCTCTAGAGTTGTCCCAAGTAAGAGATGGGCAGAGATCCCACCTTGCAGCCCAGATTACCAGTCAAACGATTGAAATCATTCACCTCCCCAGACGAATAATTTCATTATTTAGCAGATTAATCCCCAATTTGAACACTGCCTAAAAACACAGGAGGATAAAATCATAATTGTATCATCAGGGAAAATAAGACGAGAAACTGAGTTAGAAGATCCCTCTACACTGCCCACCTCAAACCCCTTGAAGAAAGCCCAATCAACTGTTTTCTGATCATACCACTCAAAACTTCCATCATCAAATGAAGAGAAGAGAAAAAGTAGGATCACCTGCGTCAGCGTTTGTGAACTTGAAAATAATTCTGCAAGGAGCTCCATTAACAGGAAAGAAAACGGACGGCCGAGATACATCTTTTGACCCAATTCTTCATTTTGCTCCAAAACTCATGTGGTCCATGACATTGAGGAGGAATTCCCAATGGACACGATATAAGTTTTATCAATATTTATCAGGCCTCTGTGTGTTTGTGACTTGTGTGCTTTTATCCAGTTCATGCAAATCTTATTGGGTAGCTTGGTCTGCCCAATTGTTACTTTGTCGTTTTACCAGGTTTTTAGTTGTAGAAAAATGAGTAGGCCCTGATCATACCAGCCATTTTAGTGGTTCTTTTATGTCCTTATTTTAGGGACTTTATACACTCATGTGGCCTGATTTATGCTTGTGTTATTTAGATGTGAAGACAACCCCTATCGCGATATAGACATTGGTTGACATGACTGGTGAGCAGTGAGCACATAGTTTGATTGCAGGCTGTAAATAATTCAAAATCTGGTATAGCAAAAGGCTTTTAATTGTGAAGAACTACGAGATAGGGGTTTCTGGAAAAAGGATAGTGATGTTAGTTGGGTCAGCTCAGCAATAGTAGGAAGGTGGTTTTGCTTAACGTGTAGTTTGGATTTTAAGATCAACATTATATCAATGATTCTGAAATGTTTTTTATATTAATGATCAACATGTTCATGCATATTCATTTTTTTTGTTTTGTTTGGAGATTATGCTGGTGTAGTGGACTTAATTTTCATAATGTTGCCACTTGCTTCAGGTTGCCAGCCTAGGAAAAATTCTGGGACCTCGAGGACTAATGCCAAATCCAAAGGCTGGTACTGTTACGACCAATGTACCACAGGTATGGTCTAATTTTCCTTGTTTAAAATTTTTTTCACACTTTCAGCAGATTCTTTTCTTGATTTTAAACGAGAAGTAATTATTTTTAATGCTTCATTTCTTTTTTATGAATAAGCTACGCCCTAGTGGATCTTCAACCCATATATGCATTTAGAAGTTGAACAATTAGATAGAGGTCTTTAAGTGGGAAAAGAAAATAAAAAGACAAAAATGATTGAATTATGATGATGTTTGTGTTATTCAATTTTAGTTGATACCATGCAGAGCTGTCAATAATGTGAGTTCTTTGCTGGTTCATCTGTGGCGTTTTGCTAAATGATCATTGTCTCTTTGTTATTTCAGGCTATTGAGGAATTCAAAAAGGGGAAAGTTGAATATAGAGCAGATAAAACTGGGATTGTTCACTTACCCTTCGGAAAGGCAGACTTTTCCGAGGAAGATCTTCTAGTAAACTTGATTGCTGCAGTAGTATGTTTTCTCTTACTTTTTTCTGCTCCAGATCACTCTGAAATGGACGTTTTAAACACGTAATCTTATTTGGTTTATTCTTTATTTCTGCAGAAATCAATAGAAGCAAACAAACCATCTGGTGCAAAAGGAGTATACTGGAAAAGTGCACATGTATGCTCATCGATGGGGCCTTCCATCCGTTTAAATATAAGGGAGATGCTTGATTACAAGCTTCCATGAAATTAATGTCTAAAAGAACAAAACTGCATCTGTAAATTTTATCTTCAAATGTTCAAATAGATTCTTGTGTCCCTGTTAGAGTTTGTTAATGTTTAGATGTGGCTAGGACAGACATGAGGATGAAGGAAAGAATGAAACCCTAGAAACTATTTTCTGATTGAAATAGTTCCTGGAGTGTGTATGGCTGCTTCTCTTACACCAGATCAGCAAAATTTTGTGTTACTGTTCAGATAGTAATTACAAAAATTTATTTTGATATCTTGTTTATTGATTGAGTACAAAATGATATAACATGGTTTGTCTCTTATATGTAGTTCAGGTAGAAATGAGTTCTTCATCAAAATATATATATATATATATATATATATATATATATATATTGATTGTATTGTACATCAGAGGGGATTAACCTCCGGTATATTAGGACCAGTTTGGTTGGAAAGAAATGGAAGGAAAAGAAAAGAAAAAAAATAAATGGAGGTTGGAAAGAAATGGAAGGAAAAGAAAAGAAAAGAAAAGAAAAGAAGTGGAGGTTGGAAAGAAATGGAAGGAAAATAAGAAAAGAAGTGGAGGGATATTATTTTTTGTGCTTGGTATAAAATTTTGGAAAGAAAAGAAAAAATTTGGAGGGATATGAGTTTGTTTTTATCTTCCCAAAATTGAAAGTTAGGACAATAATTTTTAGTACCAAATTTACCCTTATTTTTAATAAAAGACAAAATTAATAGATAAAGACTAATAATTAATAGCTTTCTTTTCTTTCTCCCATACACTATTGTTACAATTCCTTCTTTTGTGGAAATGTTATCAGTTGTTTTCTTTTCCACCGTAAATAGAAAAACTATAAAGCCTATGCACAAAAACTAGCTATGCAGGGACTACCATCAGAATTAAAATTCTTTTCCATTCCATTATTAACCTTTTGCCACATCAATCTTGAATGCAGTAGTAGTGTTTTGCAGCTACTTTCAAACCGATCATCACAACATTGAAAGAGATCAAATAATGTACATCAAATGCACATGATAAAAATCAATTCAATCCATAACCCAAAAGAAAATTGTGATTGGAAACACCATTTACTTCTTCATTTTAAAGTTTATGAAAGAGAAAATTGATCCTCAACCCAGTTCATGAAGCAATCAGACCAAAACAAGGAACCTTGTGACAGACTGTGCTGAACAACTTTAATCAAACAGATTAATTATATACATTTACGTTTGAAAGAATCAAGTATACACATTAATATAATCCTTTAGTTGTTGGTTTATTAAAAGAGAGAACTGATCAACTCTGCGTCGTCCCGGTTGTTGAAGGGATGGTGTTGAACAAGTTTAGAAGCTTTTTTCAAAGATGATGGCAGTGGGTGGTGTTCAACCATAAATGGATGATTTAAGAGCATCTTTGCAGTCCATCTCTCGCTTGGCTCCCTCACTAGACACCTTATCAAGAAGTCGGTAGCGTTGGCAGAAAATCCCTCCGGTATCTCCGGCTCTTCTTCTCCTCCGAAACCAATCTCAAAGAGAAGATCATGCAAATCCCCATGAATATTACCCCATACCGGCTTTCCGGTAAGCATCTCCACCATAACGCAACCGAGAGACCATATATCCATTGGTGCTTCATTCAAGCCTAATGCAACTGACTCAGGAGATGTGTAGAGAGGAGTCCCTCTATAATCATCAAGCCTACCACTCACATATATATCACCCTTTCCAGTCCTCTTCGCCAGCCCAAAATCAGCTATCTTAACACGATTATTTTCGAGACACGGTGGTGATGATGATGTAGGAAACACAAGGATATTAGCGGGCTTGATATCACAGTGAACAAACCCTTTCTCATGAATGTAAAGCAGTCCTCTGAGGATCATTCGGCTGTAAACCCGAACTTCTGCTTCTGACAACTTACCGTCGCGTTTGTTGATCAACTGTTCCAAGGTGCCTCCGGGTGCATATTCCAGGAAAAGATTGTAATACTTTTCATCTTTTGCAATCATCTCTTGGAATCCACAACAACGAATGATCTCCGGACAACCTTTAAGAATCTGTAGAAAGATTTCTTCTCGTTGTAGCGATGACGATTTTGAGAGAACTGAAGATTTTATGGCGATGGGTGGAAGGGTAGGGGAGGTTGCAAGAAATACTATTCCGTACGTTCCTCGTCCGAGAACCTTCTGCATCTCCCACTTCGCGGCCATTGATACTACTAATGGATTGAAAGAGATGCCCCTTCTTTCTTAATTCATTCACTTCTTGAAAAGCCGAACTTCTCATTTAAGTCAAGCATATTCCATGTAAATTTCGATATTCCTTTCCTGGGATTCTATTATTAATAATGAAACTTGAAGATTAATTTTTTTTTTTTTTTTTTTTTCTCGCAGAGGATGTACCACACACCTTATGAGTGAGACTAATCTACTATAATACATATAAACGAAACATATTTGAAATTAATTAACCAAGATTTTTTTTTCAAGTACGTACGTATGAATAAGGCATGTTTGCCATGGCCCATAGTTCTATAAACATTTTTTAGTTCTTAAAGGGTTAATTAAAAACCAAAAAACAAGATTTGCAAGTTATAAATAAATTACTTGCTTTGTTAGGAAAAAAAAAAAAAAAATCCCAAAAAAAATCATCTCTGTTTTTGACAGGACAAAAAATAATAATAATAAATAAAGTAAAACTAAAGAAGTAAATAAGGTTAAAAAAAAAAAAAAAAAGTTAAATTTATAGTATAAAGGGTACTTGTGGTATTTTAAAAAAAGAAATGAAGCATTAATTATTTTATAAATCTTCTTGTCATTTTCTCTAACACAAAAAGGCAAGTGAAGTACAAATGTAGAAAAATGGAGTTCCCCTTTCAAGTGGTTTTGCCTGTTGTAAAAATTAAGATTCAACCTTTGTATACTTAGAAACACATTTTATTTTATTTTTAAAAAAAAAAAAAAAATCCTGAATTTGTCTTAACACAATTAAAACCCGTAGCAACAACATCAATCTCAAAATCCAACACCAACTTTCACATAAAACCAAATAAAAAAACTAATAAGTAATGAGAATAGATTCGAGATACAAGTAAATATTTGGTGCATATGATAAAAATATGTGACTCCACTAAGAACAAATTGATCGAATTTGCAATCATTGAATGTTTATTGCATGTGATGATGATTTGGAGATAACGGTGGATGGAGGAGACGGAAGGGACTTGTTGCTATATAGACTTTGGCATTGCTTCCGCTCCCAAGAAGTTCGTTGATTACCCAATTGTTATCCATTGACGAAAGCTTGAAAGGAAGGTTGATGGCTTTGATGGTGTAAAATATTAGGGTTTTCTTTTGGAAACTATATTAGGGTTTTAGTTTCCTAATTGGATTACGAAGGCCTATAATTATACAATAGTGATGACGTGGAGATTAAGCTACTTCAACTATCACAACTTTATTTATTAATTAGGAAGCCATATTCATCATCCACTTTTCTACCATTTTTTTTCTTTTAAATAAATGACATAAAAGTCCCTAAATTTATTAATACACCATCTTCTTAAATTTTTCTTTTTTTACCTGCTCGGATGAAATTGTGTGTATGTGTGTGTGAGAGACTAAATAAGATCTAGCCAAAGATTTAATTTGGCTTTTATGGTACTTTGATTGCAATTATTGTGTATCATTAGATGAAGGATGCTGCTCTTATCCTAGAAAATTTTGAAATCAGTGCTACCACATGTGGGATTATTGTCTCAACCGGATTAATGTTCCTTCCTCATAATTATTATCATCTGCATTTTCATTTCTTGTTTCATCTCCAGCATGGTGATAGCTTTCGCCTATCATTGTAGAGTAAATACTTGATGTATTATTATTATTAGAGACAAAAGATAGTGAGAAAATTCGAAATAATTAATACAAAGTAGATAAATAATTGAGAAAAACAATGTTAATTGGGGAAAGAGAGGCAAAGATATCTTTTCACAACTAAAAGAGTAATTGTGATATTTAAGAAAAAATAATTATTTATTTATAAAATTTAAGCTAGAAGTGTCATTTTTTTTTATTTAAGTTGATTTACCGAAGGAAAAAAAAAAGCATCATTTTCTTTAAAAGTGGCAAACCTAAATGGGAAGAATTATATATATTTATCAATCCAATAAGGTAGGTACGTACAGAGAAACATCTTCTTGAGCATATAGGGCATGTTTGGTACACATCAAAGTAATTTTTCCATTGTTGAGGATACCAAAGATGTCTATTTAATGTATAAATATGGTTATCTAAAAGGCAGTTTGGGCATTTGAAATTTGATTATTACATAAAGGTTGAAAGTTTTTATTTTATTTTTTTGGGTTAAGTATAAAGAGTGAAAGTTGTTGGTTGCATCTTATAAAGAATGAATATTAAGTCACGTATATAATATCAATTTTACAATTCATTTTGTGGTTTTTGATTGAACAGTATACATTTATTCGGCGAATGTTTCACGAATGAAATTAACAGGCCTCTCTTGTTCCAACTGTGATTCATCGTTATCTCTTGGTGTGCAATACTATTTTAAATTTTATACCTTCTGATGTGGCTTTGTCTATTTATTGAAACTACTATTCTGTTGTTTTCTCTCCATAATCAAAGGATACATATATTAATTGTATTGTGAAAGCCTGACTAGAAAGTGCATTTAACTGAAACTGTTATCTATGTGTCTTTTATCAAGGTTATTCTCTGAGGTGAAGAAGAAGACGTAAATGATTTTTTTGTAATTTTAATAAAATAATTTTTAGTTTTTAATTTAATATTAATTAGTAAGGTTAAATTTGTCATTTCACAATTCGGATAACGGGTTAGACACTAATATTAATATTAAGATAATGCGAAAACATTTTTTGAAAGTTTATGATCAAAATATAAAAATAGTAAATGATTTATAGAATTAGGCACTGCAATCAAAGGTCACGTTTATTTTGTATTTTCATGACTTCACAAATTTTAATTGGAGTGTGTTAATTAGATATAAAAGATGGTCTGAACTATTTAATAATGGGTCGCAAAAAACACCCATATGATATACATAGAGTGTATAACTCTCCATACGTTATAAAAAGTCCCTAACATTCAATTTTAGAGCAAACAATGACCTAAATATTATGCTGAAAAGACTAAAACGTTATTTTATAACTGAATAAAAAAATAGGTAAAAAATAATAATTAAATGTTAAATAACTAAATTGTTCCTCTTTTTATACATATAATATAAGATTGCTGTTAA